ACAAACACCAGTTTGTGTTATATTCACCACCATCTTGACTGTAAGGGAGGGAGAATGCAGTAAGATTGGTGTGTTGCAACAAAATAAACAATATTGTTCAGAGGTTTGGACTTGTCTTATTGGTTCCTTATGAAGTCTATACAATTAGGTGAACCTAGGACGCTCGGTTACAATACCATTATACTATTCTATGCATCCTAAAGAAAACTGAGACTATACTTTGCACACATCTAGGCATATATATGAAAACTTAGACTGCACTATAATATACAAAAAAAACCCATTCTCTGATTTATCATATACATATGCAGTACATGCATGTATGAGATTTTTGTTTAATAGGCTTACTACTATTACTAGTACTACCACCCCCCCAACACCACCACCACCACCACCACCACCACTACTACTACTACTACTACTACTACTACTACTACTACTACTAATAATAATAATAATAATTGAGACATGTAAGACATTAATACTAGTAACTCAGAAAAGGGGGAAAGGGTTGTGTGCATGATGTAGCCTATTTATGTGTGAACACCATGAATACAGAAGGGCACTGTGTGTATAGGCCTTTAAATGCACAAAAAAGGAAAAAAGAATAAATAAATAAATACAAAAAATTAAAAGGTAGGTTATGTACCTACGCATATTAGCCTATTTCATGTTTATGTTTGACTCTGAAAATGCAGGGTTTTTTTTGAAAAATGTTTTGAAACACGTGTTAAAGCACGCGAGCGATAAGACAGAAAGTAAATTTTTTTCATATACTACTTTTAATAATCGCAGTAACACACGAAGACACACACACACACACACACACACACACACACACACACACGCTGACCATGTGATGTGAATGCCCCCTGTTCCGGTTACAGAGGGAGAGAGGGTGGGAGGCAGCACTTCAATGTAAACCTTCTCAGTGATGGAAAGCAGCGGCCAACATCAGAAGCAGAGTCACTCACTCGGTCTGCGCTGCAGTTTCTCAAAATGTGCTGTGCAATTTTCTTTCTCCAGCGCGGATTGAAACTCCGGGAGACCTCGGCCTGTAATGGGTAGCAGCTGCATTAACTAGTGGACACTCTTCTATTAACTGTTTTTCTTTGCCGCCGGCCAGGTCACCGAGCTGCGCACGCACTGTGGGCTTATCCACCGACACCTGGCAGGAAGAGTGAAGGTAAACTGACTATTTAGTGTCCTAAAGTGGCGCATTTTCGGCCTGTTCTGAAAGAGAGACTGGATCACGTGAACAGGTGACATCGAAGCTGCACGTTATCTGTCTCTTAAAATCCTCCGGGTTTAAGAGGAGAAGAAAGGGTAAGGACTGCAAGTTCAATTTCAGCTCAAAATACAGCTGCACCTTTTCAAGCTCAACTACCAGCAGCATTATTACTATTATTATTACTATTACTACTACTACTATTGTTACTATTACGCCACAGCTTATTATTTTCTGCTCGTGTATTCTAATGAAGGGACAAAGAGACACCTGACAAACATGGCTGCACAAGTGCTAATTGGCCCAGACCATGATGCTGTTTGCAGCCAAAACAGCAGCAGCTCCCAGGCTGAGGGTTAACTTGTCACAGACACTACCTCATCAAATGACTCTGTCCTGACTCACATAGAAGTCAGGGGCTGCAGGCCACAGCATGGGCAACTCCTCCAGGAAGGGAGGGGGAGACGAAGAAGATGAGGGGGGCAAGGATGGCGAGGAGGTGGAAATCACAGAGAAGAAGAAAGAAGAGGAGGAGGTGGAGGTGGAGGAAGAGCTTCCGCTGGGGGTGGAGGAGTTGTTTGAGAGTGGGGATCCCGTGCTGGACTTGAGCTACCGTAAATTCAAGCGGTTGCCTTCACGTGTTTGTGGACTGATGCATCTGGAGAAGCTGTATGTCTGTGGGAACAGGCTGCGCACTCTGCCGGACAGCATCTCCCAGCTGCAAGGTCTGCGGATACTCGCCCTCGACTTCAACAAGATGGAGGAAGTTCCTCAGGCCGTCTGCCAGCTCACCAACCTCACTCGCCTGTACCTGGGCAGCAACCGGCTGATGAACCTCCCGCCTGAGCTGAGTAACCTGCAGAGTCTGCGCTGCCTGTGGGTGGAGAGCAACTACTTCCAGAGATTTCCACGGGAGCTCTATGACCTGCCCCACCTTAAGTCCCTGCAGATGGGGGACAACCGGCTAAAGACGCTGCCCCCTGACCTCTGCCGCATGACGGCTTTAAGGGGATTGTGGCTCTACGCAAACCGCTTTGAAATCTTCCCCAAAGTCCTGCTGCACATGGAGGGCTTGGAGATACTAGACATGGACCGCAACAAGATATCAGAGTTTCCCAGCCTGAAGCGTCTCCGAGCCATGCGCCTGTTCTCCTACGACCACAACCCAGTGAAAGCCCCTCCAAAAGTTGGCGATGAGGTGCTTGTTGTTGGGGAGGGTGCTGCGGAGTTCTTGGAGGTGCGTGAGGCCAGGAAGGAGAGACTACGAAAGGCCGCGGAGAAAGAGGCCGAGGAGTTGGCTCTGGCAGGAGAGGAGCCAGTGATTCACGGCATCCTGAAGAACAGCAGCTCCAACTCAAAACAAGCAACAAACGGAGATGTGGCAACTTTAGGGGACAAGGATGTTAAAGAGGAAGAAGCAAAGGAGGAAGAGGAGGAGGGGGAAGAGGAGGATGTGGAGCTGCCAGTCACTGAGTATGACGGAGCTGAGCTAGAATATGACGAGCAGGGGGTTGAATATGAGACAGAGGAGCTGATATATGAGGGAGATGGTTTTGAATATGAGGGAGAGGAGTTGCAGTATGAGAGAGCTCAAATGGACTATGAGTATGAGGAGCTGGAGGACACGGGGAGGCAAGATGAAGGGGCATGAAAATCCCCTCATACATCTGGACTGATCTGTAGGCAGGTGGAGGTGGATGACGGAAAATCCACACAAACACACTGATAGAAGCTGACACAAGGCGAGTGTGCTGCTAGTTGTTAACTGTGAAAATAAATTAGCACTGAGGCATTATGAAACTATAAACTGACAGCACCTGTGACATCTCAATCGGCTGCAAATGACACATCAGAGCAGGACTCAGGTGGTGTTTGTGTGTGTGCGTGTGAGTGTGTGTGTGTGTGTGTGTGGCTGTTTTAAATTAGGGGTTATTTTCTGAGTGTACACAGGAGACCAAGTCTTCCATTATTAAATATTAACTCAGTTGATGAAGTCAGTGTCAATCATTTATGGGAAAATGTCTTAATTGGGAACCAGTGAAATCACCAGCTACTGTTTACATGACTGACACAATGTAGTATTTCCACACATCATGGCCAGTGTCTGTTTTATGTGCCTGCCAGTGCACCTCGGCTCGCCTCGTTGCTATTTTTATAAACTGAGAACCATGTGCGCATGTAAATGTGTGTATTGTATTTAGATTTACAAAATATTTATGACACGCTAAACACAACCCCCCCAACCCTTGTCAGTGTTGTGTAAGCAATCCTGTGAGTGTCAGTGCCAAGACAGCGAGGGAGATGAGCAGGATTATTAGAGGGATGAATAGCTGGGGTGCCTCACCATAAAAGGTAAGTCCATAGGGAGGCTCCAAACATGAAATAGACTCAAGAGAAATCAAGCAGGAGATCTTTCATTCAGATTTTTTTTTTTTAAAACGAAGCCCCCTGCAGGTCAGAGACTCAAGTCCGTCATGACCTTTGTATACTCCGTTTTGTCTGTGACTACACCTTTTCTACTCTCTGCCTCTAACATGAAGCAGGCCCGGCCCTTGTTCTCCTCTCATCTCTGCACTCATTATTCATGTGGGGCTCGTATGTAATCCAATCGCCTTTCCCTCCACGTAGCTTTTTCTCACATCTCATTGAAAGAGTGAAATATTTATCCCAATGCTGAAATATTTATACTTGTTCTCATGTGGCAGCATGTCTGTGCTTTGATGGAAACAGTCGCAGAACAGACTCAGAATGATGATTGCTTTTCTTAAATGTCTAAATGTGAACCGCAAGAATCCCCCTTGTTGACCGATAAAACCACAGAGATTACATATATGTCAGGATTTGTGATACGTCTAGGGCTGCTCTCTTAATCTGCAGTGTATTTTCTAGATTAATAAATTGACTGATCTATAGAAAATTGGCAGTCACAATTTACCAGAACGCAAGTTGATGTCTTCAAATTGCTTGTTTTGTTCGACCAACAGTCTAAACCCCAAAGATATTCAGTTTCAATCATAGAAAACAAAAAAAGTGTCACATCTTTACATTTGAGAGGTTGGGACCTGGCTGGAACTAGTGAATATTTGGCATTTTTGCTTAAACAAGACTGAAAGTGTGCAGATGCTAGTGGCTGTGTGAGACACTTCCTAATGAAATCCTAATGCTAGCATGGCAACATACTCATAGTAAAAGTGCAATCATGCTGATGTTTAGCAGGTGTAGGCTAATGTTTAACTTGTTAGCATTTACATTTCTTCATTTAGCTTTTATCCAAAGCGACTTACAACTGCTATATATGGAGCAACTAGGGTTTAAGTGTCTTGCTAAGGGACACAAGTTTGTGGATGTGTCACAGTGGGGAGTTGAACCATGTCTCTTGTCTACTGCCCCGTCATCACGCCTGTTAGCATGCTAACATTTGCAAATTCCATCATTGAGATATTTCAGTCCAGACAAAAGTGGTGGCCTGACCAATAGACCAATATTGCAATCCCTAGAGCAGCTAGCACGGCTACAATTTCCATAAAGCATATAATTAAACTGTTCACCTGAGGAAGCGGTATAAGCAGTTTATTAAAAATCGTCCACTCTCTATACTTTGCTGACACTAACAATTCTTTGCAGATATTAGCGTGGTTTAATGTATCTCTTGTTTTGACACCGCAATCTTGTCTTTATTTGACTTGTGTTGATAATGTAAAACCACTGCAGTTTCTGACAGTCGGCCCACAGTTGGTGTTTAGTATGGAGCTACAGTATAACGTAGCACATAATGTGATGCTTTTGGAAACTTAATCCACCTCCTCGGTCGGCGCTCTGCTTCTCATTCCACAGCTGTGGGTGGCAAAACAGTTTGAGATACAGCAGACGTCGATGGGAATTGGTACCATACTCAGTCTAAGTGTAATCATTTTGCTCATTAGTTTACACTCCTCTCATTCTCTGTAGGTCAGTGACAGCGAGGCAGTCAAAGACAAAGCATCATCTCCTTCACTCCCCCTTTAGATCTCACATGACTCACTTCACACAACCGTCTGATGGCAGCTTTTCAACTCACACAAAAAGGCCTTCACAAAGAGATGAAAATTAGCTGTATTTTTTGACAGGACTATTGTAAAACAGCTCAGACGGGGAAGTGATTAAGGTTTTCAGGATGCGATTAAAAGGAAATACTGCAACAGTTCTTACTCACACATCCAGTTTTTATTTCTACACAAACTATTTTAGAGTAAAGTAAACCAGAGCACTGTGTTAATGTGAAATGTTATTTTTGTGATGAGGCCGTGCAGGTACCAACGCAGGTGTGTGAAGGTCTAGCCTCTAAAGATGAACCTGTGAAATTAAAAAAGGGTCGTGAGTCAAAGGATGTATGAATGAACTTCATGTGTGGAGCTTGTTTATTTACCTGTCCATGTCTCGACGATTGTAGCTGTTGTCCATTTTTACACCGATGATCCCTGTGCAAGCGTGGCCAGATTTCAACTTTACATAATCATCCTGATGACAGAACCTGGAAAATAATAAGTTTCTTTAACTGGCGATTTGTCAATTAAAGAAGTGCTTCGTTAATATCCTGTAATGTTTTATCCCAGCTTTTTAATCTTATCTGAAAGTATTAAACAGACTTACATGCTCTTGTAATGTGTAGTGAAGTGTGAACAAACAAAAGGTGCATTAGGGAAAGTCTGGTTGTTTGGAGCGTTGAGAAGAAACCCTGTGGGCTCCTAGAAAACGCAACAACATTATCAACAGATAATAGCTCCAAACACAGAGGTAATATTTATTCAAGGAAAAAAAAACAACCTTTTTTCCAATGGTCTTTTCAGTCGGTGTATTATTTTTAGTGTGGGGTGATGGCAGAAGGGAGGCCTAGAAGAGCAGATGGAAGGATGTTCAAGTTAAAGTGATTTAAGATCTACGACAGCTGACGGGGAGGGGGTCAACACTCACCGAGCAGGCCAAGGGAGCGATGGCACCTTGAGTGAATCCTGTTTCTCGAGCAGAGTGGCTACACAGGCTCGATCCTGCCTCAGTGCCCTCAAACACAAGCGCAGAGAGACATTGTTAAACCTTACGGATAATGGAAAATAATATTGCATCCTTTCAAAAGAGAAGTCAAAGTGAGAGAAATTCTGTGGGTCAACCTGCAGAAATGACGGCTGAATGAAGTCACTTTTCATCACTGAGCTGTGAGTCTGGTGAGGTTCAACCTGAACATCAGGGAAAGACCAAAAAAAACGGGAAAGTAGACATTGCGCGGGGGGAGGTTGCAGACCACACACAAGAAATAACGTGTGTACTTGCTGTATGTTTACATAAGTGAAAATAGACTACCAACAGTGTCTATTTTTACAAGAAATACTATTTACAATACTTACCATGCGACTTTTTTTCTCCTGAAATGTGTTTAGTTGAAGGTTTGTTCCCTCAGTGAAACCACTTTCTCCTTTTGGACCCACAGTCACATAGTTCTGGGACACTACAACAGTGTAAATGTATCATTTACAAACACCATCAAGTCATGAGAAGTCGGAAGACAAAATGACGATTTTTTCAGTTTTTGTCTCTTCTATATCATGAATTGCTGTATGGCATGTCTTTGAACTTAAAATTCACATAAACTTGGGTCTTAAGCCTCAGCAGGTGGAGGCTTTATTTTACCTGTTGGTATGAGACGATGAGGCACAAACAATCTTTGGTATTCTGTCTGGCAGAGACATATTCATAAAGGGAGATAATGAGACATTTACTCAGTATTTCAGTACACGGGTGTTGTTCTCTGAAGGTGTTGCTACCTTCTCCTTCTCAGTCACAGTTTTCGGATGATTCCTCAGCTGATAGAAGCCGCTCTCTTTGGGTTTGTTAACGAGGTTCGGCAAACACCCTGAACAGTCAGACCGGATGTGAGGCTGGTAGTGTCGTTTAGTTTGAGACATGAAGCTGTCAGATAACAGGAGTCTGTGGACAGAAACAACATGCATGTGTTTGCTTGTCTCTTATGAATTCTTATGACTGAGAGACTTGTCAATTCACCCAAATTACAAAAATCTACTTGCTTCCATTGCCTATACTATAGTGGTATCTAGCTTTAGTGTTATTTGTCTAGTTTGTGAGATGAGGTCCAAAACAGCACAAATGATTAAGATTTATTTCTGCCTCCTTTATAACAGGGACCATTTCTTTGGTAGAAAGTAGTTCCAATGGATAGTATCAAGAAGTTACAGAAAATTCTGTACATTATCTCAGTTAACAGGGACATTGTTTCTGGAAAGAAAAAAATATGTTGAATTAATTGTATCTTACAATAAGACAAGCACCACAAATGAACTTTTATTTTTAATAGATGTACATTTCAAAAGCCCTGCACACCCATGGTAAATTCATTTTGATTGATTAGACCTCTTCTCAAAAGTGTGTTAGCTTAGTTGACTGACATTTCGTTGTACTCTCCTGCTAGCTTTGTTGCACCTGTCAAGGCTGCAAATATCACCTCTGAACACCGGCCTTTTTATCATAGTAGATATATTGAAAGAAAAGTGTAGAGTGTAGAAAAGGCACAGGTGTTGCTATTTACATCCACAATGGTTCTGTTGTATTCAAGCATCCCAGTGAGCCAGCGACAGTGAGCCAGCATGCACAATACCAGGAAACTGAAGCAGCTAAATGGATTTCAGCCAGCAGTCATTTTATTATTTACACCTGTGCTTTTCGTACTGTGCCATGTCAAAATATCTTGAATGAAAAAGTCATGTCGCTTAATTCCCTGCATCGCTCCACCCACCTTGAACCTGTGCAGAGGTATAATAATCATCCAGAATAACTGAAAACACCTCTGTGGGTATGAATGCAGTTTGAAAAGTGAGCGAAACTAAACTGCATTGCCAGACTTTGTGGCTGATTGACAGTTGGGACAAGTTACAATTTTTGCTTGCTTAGAGTGGTAGCTCCATCCAACTTCCACCTGAATAGGAGTCTAATCAGCGAGGCTAGTTGAAGACACCTGCGTACTATAGACTAAAAATCAATTGGCAAGCATCTGCGTTTAATCTTTACAGTCAAAGCCTGCAGAGCACGAGTCTCCACCGGCTCTGGCACTTACCCAAACTGAGGGTTGTCAATGTGGTCCAGACTGGGCCTATAAAATATGGCGGGTCTCTGGTTTGCTGTGAAGCCTGTCCCACTGGGAGGTCCGAGGTGAGAAGTGAAGTTCACAGTGCCTGCATCTAAAACAGTCACACAAACATTGTCCATCAGAATCGAATCAGTATGAAAAAAGTTATTTATGTTTATGCTGAGGCTTTTTGACTATACATCCTCTAATGTGAAACAACCACCCCCCGCCCCCCCCTCATCCTGCACTCTCTTACCATAAGACCCCCTATAAGAATTATTGTAGACTGTGTTGCTGCTCAGTCGTCCCCTGCTGCCTGTTGCTCCAACAGTCGGCATGACTATCCTCCTCTGCTCAGCCGTCTGTGACTGCTATAATGGAAACCTTCACTGGCAACAGTGATGGATTGCACAAATCCTCTGGGCACGTGTGCAGCGCTGTAACCACAAATAAAAGCAGCAAACAAGGTGTTTTTAGGTTTGACAGGTTTTCCAACAGAACTGAAAGCTGAAAAAGTGATTACAGAGTATGGCAGATAATGATTCAATAAGTTATCCCTTTATCAAATGCTTTTTAATTGAGGATAAATGTTTTGAGTAACAGCAGCACTGCAGTGCAGTTATAGAGATGTTTATTTACATCAGATCTAAATAAATTACCCCAGAAAAGAAGCCACAGCAGAGGAAAGGCTTGACTTACTCCCCAGACGTACCTGCAACTCCAGGTTGTTTGTTCACCTCTCTTGTCTTGTGGTGGTTTTGTAGGTAAACAGGCCTCTGTTGCTAGGAGATCCTGCACAAGGGCAGCAACAAGAGTGACTCTAGAGTGAAAGGTTGGCTGCCTAATATCAGGTAATATTTCTACTGTATATCAGGTCTATGCTTTATTACTTTTGCAAGTCATTCATTACAAAATAACTATTAGACTTATAGACTATTGGATACAACACTAGACCAGTGGTCTAGAGGCGGAATCAGACTGTTCCAAATGTGTTTTTATTTAAACTGATTATTAACTGGTTGTTATCTAACACTATTTTTTCATAAAAGTACTGTTGCAATAATATTTTTCATATAAGACATAATGTCATGGGATGTGTTGGCTTGGTCTCTTTTCAGTAGGGTTTCTGTTTAAGTTTATATTTGTACTTTGAGTGGCAGAAACTGGACGTTTAAACCACATTTAAACTTCTCTGCTCTCACGCTAACTCATTTTCACACACTCTCAAAGACAGTTATAGCTGACTCAGGTTGGTACTGTACTCGGCCTGCCCTGCAGTTATTATAAGTACCCCCTGGTAACTGCAGCAGTAAACCCTGGGTCCTTGTTATAATTGCAGGTTTATTACCACAAGGACTAATAATATAAATATTAACAACATTAACACTGTATATTGCGCTATATTACAATTATTACAATCATATTTACTGCAATATATATTATACTATATCACAGTATTCATTTCACCTTCTATTATTATACATACATTTTATGAAAAAGTATCGTATTAGTATTATTGTTGCAACACTATCATTCGTCATTTCTAAGCAGTAGCTGTATAAACATATAAATGAATGTGTGCTTATAACACATTTGAATGTAGTTACAAGGCCAATATAAGGGTATTTTAAGTGTTTTCATTTTATATTGTCATTCATGATATGTTTATATACCAGCATCATGTTATGAATGCTTCACAGGAGGAGTTAAAGTTATTGACAACTACATCATTAAACACTTAAACATCATATATCTGCATACTACATTATAGTGTGTTATATATATATTCATTAAATGTTAAATTCTTAGAAATGCTAAATAGGTAATTCAGTGTTACCATCATTGTGTAGTGGGTATACCACGCATCCTCCTCACCAGAGTGCATAATTTCTCTGTGTGTACACTGGATGGCAGTGTGATGCCACAGTGGCTCTGACTTCAGTCTAGCTCAGGAAAAGATGTAAGGTTATGTAAAAAATGATGGATGGCTTGAAATTTGCATGACATCTTGATAAAAATGTCCATCCCAGACAGGGAGGTATCATCCACTGCTGTGAACAGGGAGAAAATGTCCAGACACCATCTATGCATCTGCACACATACATCTACATGAACATCTCAGTTGAATCTGGAGGGTATTCAGCTCCTGGTGTATTTAGGACAGCAGGAAAAACAGTCTTAGCTTAACGTCAGTGCCATTTTTCCAGGCGCAGACATGGATACATATTCTTACTAATTAACCCACAAACAGGAAGATCTGTCTCTTAAATTAAAGGAGTGAAGCAGTGTGATTTCTATTCAGTGGATATTACAGAGCCTCTGCTTAATATGTAAGGCTTTTAAAACACACAGTATGAACACTTCAAACAGTGTGATTTTCTTCACTGTTTTATTATTAGGTGGGACTGACTTACAGTATTAAATGTAATTGCATTTTTTCCATGACAACCTGCTCACCATGTGCATCACTAAACCCAACATTGCATAATAGATTGTTTCAACACACCCTTCCTTTAATTCTCACTTCCCATTCCTTCACCCTTTCTTCTCATTTCCTTGGACTCACACTGTATCTTCACCTCTGTCACTTCTTGCTCCCTTTCTTCCCTCCATCTGTCCAATGCTGGCAGTCGGCGGAGCCTATCTTTACCAAGCTGTTGCTTGTGTTGCCTTCTTTCCTGCTTGACATGCTGTCGTGCCAAGCCTGGAACTGTTCATTATCTTCTCCAAAAAATAACTACAGGGAAACGCCTGCATCATTGAAACTGACAGTCTCATTTCCTGCTTCTTTTCTCTTAAACACAATGTGCACATTGACATTTCTAATTATAAAATTCACAAAGATCCATACAGCAGGAATAGACAGCCCGCCTATTTTCATTCCAGTCAAAGATTACACCAGATGATTTCACTTATTAGAACAACCAGAGAGTCAGAGAGGAGGAACTGATCAGCGGAAGCACCTGCTGTACTCACAGACCTCCATGTGATTGTTCATCTCTGCAATACAGCAATCTGTGTTTGTTCTGCATAAATCACACATAACATGACTGTGCTTTAGCCAGGCTCCATTATAGGTGAGATTCTTGATGAAATTCACAACAATACTGTAAAAAAAAAAGAAGACCAAAATGCTGCACCTTCTCCAACAGTTTGCACTTGCGATAACATTTAGAATACAGAGGCAGCTTAAAAGACGAAAGAAAAAGATGGGTGCAGTGGTTCTAAAAATAGATGGAGGTGATGCAAGCAAGGGTCTCCCGTTGAGTTGATACGCTTGGCTTGCCTGCAGCCGTCTGTTGTAGTTCAGGGAGGGACGAAACCTCGGCCCCTGTCTGCAGGAGCTCGGCTGGCTCAGGGCTCGCCTGTTTCCTGCCCAGCTCTGCTGCTCTGTGTCTCTCTATTGGTTTAATAACACGATTCTATGTTTGCCATAGAGTAGCGTGGAATTAATATTTAGAGAGACATAAAGAGACAGCTCAGGCACTAAGACCCTTCTTTGTGTGTCAAGTCTCAGAGGTGCTCTCTCTGCTTCACCGCCTCACTGTTTTATCTCCTTCCTGCTTCCATTTTTGACTCCTGTACTTAATAGGCATATCTGGCACAGACGGTTTGGAGTAAATTGCATTGTCATCTTTTTCCATTTTGAGTTTCAGCTGGCTTTGGTGCATGTAATGCTAAGGAGGCAGGCTGTGATGAACAGAGGGGGAATCAGGCATAACATAAGACATTTAAAGTCAAAACCCGTGTATTTCCTGACGTGCAAGACAGACTATTCTGTTACAGATTAAATTAAAGAAAAACAATCTCTGTCACTATCATGTTGATGTTGCAAGAATTGCCTTTGTATGCAATTACTGTACATGTCTGATGGACTGAACCTGAAACACACACAGCTGTTGAGCTGAAGTGCATGAACAACGCAGGAGCTAATTAATGAGAAAATCTGTCATCATCCTTGAAACTGGGCTGAAAGATTCCTTCAGAGTGTAGCATGAGGCTGTGCGATTCATTTACCTTCATGCTGACTAATGTGTTGCTCAGACAGAGCTCCACTATACATTTTTAATTGCTCTCAAAAGGTAAAAACAACTGAAGCAAATTGCCAGCTCTATCAGCAAATGGTGGAACATGTTAAACTGGAATGGTGTCATTACCGTTTTTAATTATTTAGATAGCAGTTTAATTACACTTTATGTGTATTCGAGATACACCATATGGCCATATGTATGTGGACACCCCTGTTCACATTTTAGGGTGGGGCTGTTTTTCCTGTGTGCTAGGAGCCAATTAAAGGACATTTTAAGACTACAACGGAATTTAAGACGGAATTTATTGTGCTTACAACTTTGTGGCAATAGGGGAATGTCCTTTCCTGTTTCAATGTGGTAATGTTCCAATAAGCAAAGGAAATGGTTTGCCCAGTTTGGAGTTAATTATCATTTCATTTTCTGATTATTTACTCAGTCAGCTGGTTTATTGTTTGGTTAATAAAATGTCAGAAAATTGTGAAAATGTCCAAAGACCAAGTTGACCTATTTAAATGTCTTTTTTGTTCGACCAACAGTTTAAAATCCAAAGATATTCACTTTACTATCATAGACTAAAATTAATATCCATGCTAGCAGCTCTGTGAGGGTATACTTGGGCATGGTGGTGCTTTGCAAAATGACAACGATAATGCTGATGTTTAGCAGGGATAATGTTTATTATGTTCACCCTCTGTTATGATGATAGCCCTTGCTAATTAGTACTAAAGTACAGCCCAAAATGATGGGAATGTCATTAGTTTTGCAGGTTAGGTCTTAAACCAAAATATTGAAAAATGTGTTTTTGGCACTAGATGAAAAATTAAGGGATCATCAAAGTTATTTGAATTTATCCTCTAGGGACCTTTAATATCAGCAGCAAATTCCATGGCAAGCCACCCTACAGTTGTCAAGATATATTTAACTCAAAACCACAAATGTCAATCACATGGTGGCGCTAAAGGAAAAGTCAGGAGATCAGCAAAGTAAGAAGGATTCATCCTCTTATTACCATGAATATCTGTACAAAATTTTATGCCGAGTAATCCAATAGCTGTTAAATATTTCAGTCAGGACCAAAGCGGGGCCCTCACAAGAGCCACGCCACTAACATGGCTAAAAAGGACAATTAATCAATAATCAAAATTGTTGCAGATTAATAATGAGATTTTGAACAATCACATGAAGGTGTAACATTTGGTTGCCCACATAAAGTGGGTGTCCACATACCTTTGGAAACGTAGTGTATAGTGCCAATGCCAATGGCTATGACTCAAACACATAAAGAAATACTATTGAATCTCTGGACACAGGTGTAGTAAAAATTACTCTTTAATATGGAACAAAATCAGAGCTCAGCTCCATGGCTCCGTCCACCCAACACACTCTGTAACACTGATGGGTGGAGGAGAACGAGAAAATCAACCAGTAAGATCACAGTCCGCTCGGCCAAAAAACAGGAGAGGCTAAAAAACATGGAACGCAAAACCAAAGTGCTACTGGGTCTGACCTTGAGACGCCCTCGTTCCCTTCCCTCCTGACCCAGGATGTGACCACAGGGACATGCCTCTCCGCTGCCTCCCAGGGCTCTCCCACCTCCTCACCTACCTCACCCTTCTCACCCCGCTGGAGGTCAGTGGCTCCTCAAACCAGTCGGTGACCCACTGTCCTCTCAGAGCCAGGCAAAGTCAGCGTGAAGGCGGGTTTTGGAGGAGCAGAGAAGTGTGTAGTGAAGGTCTCTATGCTGAGTGTGCTGTCAGTTTGCGGATCTCAGTTGGACGTGAACACAGACAAGACGTCTTGGTTATTATCATGGCTCCAGTGGAAATGTCTGTGGTTCAGTCCTTCTGCTGTTTTACTGCCAGAAATCTAATCTAATCTTTAAAATGTTGCTCACTTGAGATTTAGATGGAATGTTTGAAGTTTTTTTTTTTTTAGAAAATGAGACGAAGCAGGAGGGAGAGGACGTCTGCTGAGGCCACCCAGCAAGAACCCGTTACTATCCTAGCACAGGGACATCAACAGAAGTACTACACAGATATGTACAGAGCAACCAAGCAACACATCGGAATACTAGAGAATTAAATCTGGTGAGGGAAAGGGAAGGTAATAATAGTCCACTACAAATGTACAAATCCCACTACTTTGTGTAGTTGGTCCAATCTTTAAGGCTATTCTCTTGCTCTTGCTACAAATGAGGCGGCAGTGAAGCCACCACAACATAGATTTGAGTCACAGGTCTGTGCTTGACATCTGAATATGGCTGCTTTGTGTTTCTGCGTGCTGAGCTAGCAGCTGCCCTTCTCCTCAGAGATGGGACAGACAACAGGCTAAAAGTAAACGGTAACAGGCAAAAAAAAAACATGAAAGTATGACCAGGGATGAGGTGCATTGATCTGCTCTTTGTGCTAAATCATTCTCTGATCCACAGAGCTCTGTAGGAAAAACAAGGTGCTCTAAAGTAATGTGGAGGGTGATGGGTGAGAGCTGCTAATGGACAAAGAATCGCAGATAGATGAGGAAGCATGGATTACTGGGAAATTAGACTCTGGTGGTGTATGCATTACCAGCTGAATGGGAGAGTAAATGAACAATCGAGCAGTGGAAGTAGAAATCTATACTTAGTGGAGGATTAAAATGAAGCGTTGTAATGAAGAAGCAGAGTGGACACGAGGAGACACACAAAGAGAGAGAGAGAGAGAGAGGGCATCTGCCAGCTTCAGCGAACACAGTCATCCTGCACCTTAACACACACTGCGTCACATGACAAACTACATCAGAGGGGAGGGAGGAGGAGGGAGGAGGGAGGCACTGCACAGAGAGCACTAGCACTACCATGGACGGACACACACCTAACACCCACACACACACACCCACACGCACGCACAAGCACACACACAAACACATACACACTACAGCACAGGGTCCCAGTCTGCGTTCCAATGCACTCTCCTGGCTGCCTGAACCTCGCTGTGTCTTGTCAAGAAAAAACCCACAACAAACGAACCGATTAACAAACGAAACGGACATAAAGAAGAACAACACACACTTTGGATCCCACTGGCAATAATAAAAAAATAAACCAGAAACGAAACCTAGAATATAAAAAGAGCCAGTGGCACCGGGTTTTACATAAAGCATTTTCTCAATGACTGGCTTTTGAACAGCTCTACGCTTTTTCTTTTAGTCTACCAAGTATATACTATTAACCTTACCAGGCAGCTAAAATCTATACAGTACTGTCATTTTTCATATATTTATAGATATTTATACACTATACAAAGTTGGCAAAAATACATAAATAAATACATTAAATTAGATTGTACACATCACAATTGTGTGTTTTAAGTTAGAGCACTCTTTGTTGAAGAGGTGGGCCATGGCAAGTTGAGAAAGGAGGTTAAGAAACAGGAGTGTTACCCTCGACATCCCTTAAAGCAAAGGAGTCACCATCAATCTCGGTGAGTAAGATTTCAACGTATGGTGTCAGATCAGTTAGGTGTATTGCTTATTACCTACCTGATTTAAAATGTCCATATTATGGCAGGAGTTAGAGGAGCTGCTCTAACCGATTCACAAAGTCTATTTACAAATAGCGAGGAAAGAAAAGTACACATATTCTGAAAGGTCTGCATTTAGAGAAAAAAGTTCAAATTTATTTTCAGACGATTGTGTGTGTGTGTGTATTTTCCGACTCCCCCTGGGACTCCCTCTAAAGGATGGTATTACAGGTGAAGGCAGGACTGTATCCACTGTCCTTCCTGCAGACGGCTGCTGGGAGTATCTGCTGTACCATATCATGTCTGTGGCAGAGACCGTCCTAAAAGTAATACGAAACCGATAAGCTCCATCGCTGCACTGTACACAGGCCCAGCCAGATACATAAGGCTGTGGCATATTGAAAATAGGGAAGTGGGTGTACAGACACCTACAGAGAAAGTAACTGGCACTGTGTGTTTATTTCTTTTTTGGATGCAGCAGTGGGATGAATACATGTGTTGAGAAGGCACAGGGCATATTTTGGACATTTGGAAAAATCAATCTTATTCTCCCTCACTTTTCTTGAATGATTAAAAACTGTTATTTCCACAACATCTGCCATATGGCGGTTTATAGTTTGGCTCTTGCACTAATCTGGGGCTTTTCTTGCTGGAGTTTGGGAGTTCTTACAAATATCTGACTATGCAGGAGACAAGCATATTATGGGGCAAGTTCACTGCAGTCAGTTGTGCTTAATCATGAGTCCTAAACCCAAATAAGAGGCTGAATCACAAGCATGCAATTGTCAGGGTCAGACGGATGATGTGTGTCCTTATGCTTGGAATCCACTCACTCCTCCATACATGCTCATCCCCATGTATGGCCTCCAGCAGAGCAATAATGAGTCCAAATTCAATGAGGAAGGCATCATCAATGTCAGTACAGGGCCAATCCTGTCTAACACAATGGCATTACAGTAAATCCTCAAGCCTATATGCAGACAGGGTGAGATTTGATGCCAAGTGACTGGGGCAGACTGACTCCACAGGGGAGGCGAAACGGTCCTCTCACACAGCCAAGGAGCACTCTGTTTTTCATGTGTGTAATAAAAACACAATGATGTTTTATGGCAAAAGTAACACAGGCTACAATTTGTAGGGGGTTAAAAGCTATGCGGCAGTGTGCTACAGTGGGCCTGGGATGTGTTGGGTACCACTCCTTCCCTTTGTTTCTCTTGCCCCAACCTCACGACACCTCCAACAAAAATACATCGGACATCAAAAGCCCTTATTCAAGAAGGGCAGGTATAATCAGCTTCAGCATCGTCAACATCACCACTGTTATTCATGAATATCATTGTTTTCTTCATCATTTCAAGTGACAAATGAAAACTCGGCGCACAACAAATGTTAATTTTCACCAACGATATTTACATAAAGTTTTCAAAAACAGAAGGATTTTCTTATCACATTTTTATAAAGAAATAAAACCAACACAAGAACACCAAGCACGCACTTACATACACACTGACCAACAGTCAAATGTGAACGAAAAGAAAAAAGATATTATTACTTGTTGTTTTTCATTTTCATTTTGTTACCATTCACATAATGCTTACTTGAACCCTGATTGGGAGAAGTCACATTGGTTTTCACCAGATGCTTAAAACAATTGAAAGGGTGAGTTGGGGGAGGCTAGGTCCGTCTGCGCAGGGCGAGACTCACACAGGGGCTGACTGGACAAATGACAAAGGTGACCATGAAGACTTCTGGGCTGACTCAGCCATCATAATATGATTCAGCAGAATAGAACATCAACTGCAGTCCCTCCACGATGAGATTACTACAGCCTGATATTAATCCACACACACACACCTGAAGTTCCCCAAGACATAAAGCACAACGTACCCTTAATTTAATATTGCACAAACTACAGCAAAGCAGGCACCTTTCCAATAGAGTGAGTCATTGACGCTCATCTTAAGAACGCCATATCCATCAAGGATAACTCGCGTCACAGAGTAAGGAAGGGGCTGAGAGTATGACAAGGACAAACAATAGCATCAGGCTCAGAAGAATATCTTGCTAATCCCTTGGCAAACAGGTGTGACCTCTTCAGCCAATAAAGCTTACAGTTATTTAGAAAGTAAACTGAGAAGGGAAGGCTGCTGGTGACAATGATACATTTAGGAGAACACACCCATGAAAAAACACCTTAGAGAAGATGAAAGTCCAGGAGATGGATCTCCTCCTTCACTATATCCAGCTGGACAGACTGATAACAAGACCAAAGCTTTACTTAATCACAGCAGGGTTTGGAGCTAAATGCTAATGTCAGCATACTAATATGATCACAGTGACAATGCAAACATACTGATGTTTAGCAGGTATAGGCCTAATGTTTACCATGGCTGTGGTCAAAATTACTCCATATTTACTATATAGTGCACTATATTTACCTACCACTATTTCATTTGAGTGTCCGAATATTCAGTGTGTGTACATTTACCCGCTATATAGTGCCCTGAAAAAGTCCACAGAGGTAAAAAAAAAATGAGTCCATGGCATGTCCACTATTTTCTGCTAACAATCCCACAATATAGTGCACTGCATTTTATAAATGCAAAACTTACCTTTATATAGCTGTCAGTGATGACTCAAAATTATTATAAGAGTCTGAAACATCAATTTACTGCTCACTACTGAGTGTCTCTTAATAGGGAGTAGTGAATGAGTGAATGAGGGGGTGACTTTGGACACCACTTTAATTTAGCGTGTTAGCATGCTAACATTTGCCAATTAGCACTAAACATAAAGTACGGCTGAGACTGATGGGAATGTCATTACGTATATTTAGTCATAAACCGCAGTGTTGGACAAATTAAAGTTTTGACCTGATGATGACGCTAGATGAAGAGTTAAAGGATCTCTAAAGATATTATAGTTCATCCCCTGGGGCAAATGATTGTCTGTACAAAAATGAAAAGAAAATGGTGCAGAATCCTCAGGGGTGATTACTCCTTGAGATATTTCAGTCTGGACCAAAGAGGTGGACCAAATGACAGACTACCACTGCCATCCCTAGAGCCATGGAGCTAGTGTGCCTGAAAACACAAACTGGCTGTTAATTTTAAAGAAAATTTGCATAAAACCGCTGTGAGAGAACTGTTGTTGTGATTTGGCGCTATATAAATAAAACTGAATTGAATTGAATTGAATAAAACCTGAAAAGAAATTAGAAAGTGTTCCAATACCGTCCAATAGAATGGACACTCACAAGAGACACATCAAATAAACTGGGTAAAAAATTTATTAATTTCATAAAAAAGACGTTAAGAGCCTCTATTCAGTGGCAAAGTTGTGGGCAGAGTTAGCAGTGTCTGTCATCTTGAATTAATCCTTAGTAATCAAACAGTAATTATCCACACCTGCACCTACCAGTTGGCTTTGCTGGGGAATGAAGCTCTGATGAAAGACACACAAAACGCAAGGAGAGCGAGTACACTGAGTGGAGTTAGTCTGAAAAAAAGTCTTGACTGGGAGCATCTGCAACACTGCTATGCTATATTCATGAGCTCAGGATAGTTGAAGGTCATTGCTGACAGTGTTGGTGCCAACAAAACACGATATGTTTAGAGGTGTGAGGCAGGTGGTAGTATAATAAAACTAGGATTTGGAAATTGCTTTCTCCTTTATACTGTTTGGCTCTAAGCTTACCATCCATTTTAATGGGGCTGCTGTTTGACTGCTGGCGATGAGAGAACATAATGTTTGGGACTCCTGGTTATTTTATGGAGTCTGCAGCTTTCAGGATACTCGGATGAATTATTTGCCACAGTGATACACTGTGTTTCCTAAAGTAAATCTAATTTTCTTGCCATTTTTAGAGGTAATAGTGACCTCGTGCATAAATAGTCTCTTTTAATCTATATAGATTAAGATAAATCCTAGATACCTGCTAAAATAATTTTTATTTTTCTGTTTGCTTATAAACATGATTTTAAACTTTTGACATGTTTTAGACATCTGGTACAGAAAATGAAGCATTACTTCTGTTTGGGCTCACAGAGACTAATGGGGAGATGGACTTATCGACTAATAAATTCTCCATTATGTCCACCAGCTAGTTGCTAACTTTGTCTACAGTGGGTATTTTGAAAACAGTTGCCTGTTGCAGACAAAAAAGCTGATTATTTGGCTGATTATTTGATGAACATCCTATTCAAGAACTTACTTTAAAAAATGTTTTATCATGCATTGGATTTACACTTAAGATGTAGTCTGTGCTCTAAAGCACTCAGTGTTATAATTTTTATAAAGCCCAACGCTGTAGCCCTCCAGTCTGCCTTCGAGGATCAGCCGAGTCACACAATGTCTCATGTTACTAAAAATAAAGCCATCTCCCCTAGTTTACTGGGTCTCTGATGACTAAGCTTTGTAAACCCCTGTAGCACAGCAATTTATCACTCATTGAGCAACATAGATTCTTGGTGAAAGGAACTGGCTGAGGTATTATGTTGACTCATTACCTGCACACCTGCACATTCAAACCACGTTTGGTTTTCACAGCTTCGCCTACTGATTATTTTTCTCATTTTGATTGACGAGCCTTTATCCCCGTCCATCTTCATGGTTACTAATGAGGGCGCTCCATGTTTTGTACTATTCTTAGCAAGTATTACCTCTGCAAATAGTGAGTCCCTCAGGTCCAAGGAAGCAGATATTGCTCCTTTCTGACCACCTAATGGGAGTGTAATGTGCTGTGACACTGCAGGCAGTGGCTGTCAAAACAGTGGGCCCTGTTCCACGGCTGGCCAATTGTTCTGAAGGGTGCTGGACTGGATCAGTGCATCACAGCAGCCAGCACCGAGTCCCACATGAAACACACTGCCCAGAACACAGTGTGCTTTCCGGGCCGGTTTATAGAGACACTAGAGGAGGACTAACCTGGTAGTTTCAGACTGCAATTCACATAATCTTTCAGTCTTTCTAGTGGTGATCAAGTTATCATCAACATAAATCAAAACAAGCACAAAAGCATAAGATGTTATGAAATTACTGCATGATAAGAGAAAATAAAATCCACAGCAGGCCCCATAGTATTTTAGACAAGGATTTTGATTGGGCCAGAGTTAGTAGGAGCTAAAAATGCTGCATTGACAGAAGCAGTGATGCTTCAACAATAACCCCCCCCCCATATATATATGTATTTGTATGATATATTTTCTTGCTAAGTCAGTCTAACCTGATAGATGTTTGAAAGGTGGATCCTCATTTATGAGCTGCTCCGGCAAAACAAATCCTGAATATCTGACAGGATTATGCTTCACAGGACTTTATGAATGTAAAAACACAGACAGACAGTTACAGTAGAGGGTACACTGAGAAAGAGTCTGTGTGAGCAGCTCTTAATGGCTGACAGTATTCACATTGCTGCGTTATGACTGTTATATTTACGTTACAGAAATATCGAGCTGAGCTCAATGTGCCTGACAAGCATGGCAGCTACCAGCACACTCTGTGGTGCTCTCAAGCACTCAGGGAAGAGATAATGTCTAATCTGCTTCTACAGTAGCTCACAGTGGCAGATCAGACCGCCATCTAATATCACACCAACTGTCTGTGATACACAGCCGTTCATAGTTTCTGTGAATGACAAAAACTCAGAAAAGGCCTCGTGACCTTATTTTTTTTTCAACGTTAAAGCCAATGTGCAGATCTGTCTTACTGTTTCCAGATATCCACATATTGTCAGTATCATGGACGCGTACAGAATCATCCAGACTCTTGGTACGAGCTCTGACCATGCCTGCTGTTGATTGAACACATTGAGTAATAGCACTGCCTCCATGTGACAAGCAGACGATCCTGATCTCTCCATCCACGCCTGACATTTCAGACACTAGCAGCCTGCCACTAGGAGTCTGGTAGCTGACATACAAACACACACACACTCACACGTACGCAGGTACACTGAAGAACAAAGAAGAACAAAAAGAGGAGGATGAGAGCCCTACATCCATCCTCTGCGTCCTCCACGTCGTCTCCAAACCCTGAAATCACAGAGCAGACGTCTCCTCTCCCCAACTGCTGCTCACCCTTTCAGATACTCCTCCCTTAATTTTCACCAGTACTGTAATCATCATTAATAACATACTGTCATAATCATTATTATTGTTATTACATTTTCAAAAAGTGCAGATAGAACCTCCCCATGCCCTCCTTCAGAAGGCAGGGCAGTAAAGGAGGATGGGGAAACAATGGCAGTAAGAAGAGCAAGAAGAGCACAAGATGAGAAAGAGAAAAGAGAAGAAGATTTCTGCCGAGTCTGAATTGTGTTGCTCCTGTGTGTACACACCCACACACACACACACACACACACCCACGCACACACACGCAGAAACAGGCACACATTAACGCAGCACACCATACAGTCAAAACTGCTGGAGAACGATCCCCATCAGCACAAAACAGGAGCACAGGGCAGCACAAAGAATTCATAGCATCAATAAACAGACAGAAGTGTGCACACACAACCAAATGCATGTACACAAACAGCACAACCTTTGCCTTTAGCTTCTGTTTTCATCTTAACATTGGAAAAAATGGTTTAAATTGGTTTCCTCAGTTGGTGATGCTGTGAAAAATGACATCATCGTACCACGGGGGATTTGTTTGGTGGAGTTTTGTTATTTTTTTTTCATCTTCTTTTTTCTCTCTCCATGTCAGGGCTGTTTGTCTGGAAAAATCAGGAGCGATCCATTTCACAAGTTTTATTGTGTTCCCGCTTTCCCGGCGTCGGAAAGTTCAGTTTATTTATTTATTTTTTTAATCTCTATTTTTGTTGGAGCTACAGCACAGCACCCACATCACACAGACGACAAGTGGGGGTGGGGGTCCATAAAGTGTGTGTGTGTGTTTGGGGGGAGGGGGGTTCAATAATATTGTGCCAGAGAACGAGAAAGTGGGAACAATAAGGAAAAAAGAGATAAAGAAGAGTATAGAGAAGAAAAAAGACAAGGGAGAGAAGAGACAGCAGTATCAACAATTCCATCTTGAGTTCAGCTGGTTTCATCACAAACCGAATATTGATTGCTTTCGACAACTTCAGCTGAACATTCAACCACTTTTGAGTAAAAAGAGGGTCTGAAATGGGGAGAGGATATAGTACACTTGAGACAGATGACAAGGACAAGGCGACAAATGAATAGACAGAAGATGGGAAACAGCAGACAGGTTATGGATAACATACTGTATACTAGTCATGTGTATAGGGGGAGTTCTGCCAATTTATACGTCTAATACATTAATATGTATATGTACATATAGTACATACTGTATAGTATTGTGTACCTGGAATAGTCATACAATAGGATTATATTTGATTAGATCGTTACTTAATATTCTCTGTGATCCCACGGGACTGGCACCTTAATTGGGGTCAGAGGTTGCAGTGCAGTTCAGAACCAAGGGGTCGACAAAGAAACTGAATATCAGACCTCCATAGGCAAAGTGCATAAGGACAGACAGACATACAGACAGTCAGAAACAGGGGGACCACTGGCAAAGTGGGGAGACACAGAAATTAAGACACGGCTGTATGAAGGGGAGGGAACAGGTGAAGAGAGAAGAGTCGGAGAGAAATAGAGATTTTTAAAGAAAAGAGTTTAAAGGTTTAAGAGAGCAGATGGCTAATTGTACCCGTGTTTCGCAGCCTGGCAGCAAGTCAGTCTTGTGCATAAGGACGGGAGTGGGAAGAGGGGAGTGAGGAGGGGGCATAGGAGACGGGAAAGGGGCCATGGAGGAAGCTGGGCGGTGCGATCAGGCCTTGAGAGCGTGCCACTGGGCGACGTTAGTACGTGGCCGAGCGAGCATGTCTTTCCAGTGCTTCACCTCCCCTGGTCCACTCTTCCACGATAGGTAGATCTGAGAGAGGGGAAGAAGAGAAGGTGTGATAATGTACTAGATGTGCTATAGATGCAAAATAATCTTTAACCCTTTTCAGACACAGAATATTTAACATTGCTGGCTTCATCTCTGTAATGGTCTTTTGTCATTCAGACATGTCACTTACGTTAACGATCCTTACGGCTTTATTCAGACACAGCAGTCTTTCTCACACTCTTGTTTTTGCACATTTCAACAAACTAATCATAATGTGTAAATTAGTGAGTGTTACCTTTAGACAGAGCCAGGCTAGCTGTTTCCCCCCTGCTTTTAGTCTTTATGCTAAGCTAGGCTAACAGTCAGATAATCAAATTTTAAGTTAACGTTACTCTTGGATGGTTTCACCTCATTGATTTGCTTGTTCACTGCTTATAAATAATTCCTCAGCATGGTTTCTGTTGTCACAGGGCGAGCAGTGGCGGCAAGTTGACCGACCATGGTGGCGACCGCTTGCTGTCTGAAAGTGCCTTTACTCAGATATGACACCAACATGTTAAATTGTCGTCTCATTTATGTAACAGGGAGCTTAAGGGGCTTATATGTTGTACCCAAGGGCGACCATACAAACACTACTCTGATGCGTTACCTTGCCGATAACATCGTTGCGGCTGAGCCTGTCCTTGTCCATGACGGTGATGATGATGGTGGTCTCTCTCAGCACATGGGCGGGCACGTCGAAGGGGAAGGATTCGTTGAAGACGGGGTTCAGACAGCGCTTCATTGTCACTGTCTTTTTCTTCTCTACACGCTTGTCCTTGTGCATCAACCACACCTTCACATATGGATCTGCAATGTGGATGCAGAGTACAGCGGTTTACATGAGAGCGAGGATGAAGATGCCCGTGCAAGGTGATTTTTGGGGTCAGGTTTGCAATTACCCTGTTAATTGTTAAAGTCAGGGAAGGCAGCAGGGAAGCAGTTACCTAGTTTGAGCTCAAGGTCAACTTATCCCCTGAGCAAGGAAATATACAAATGAGGAAGTATTTATGGAAATAGGGCCTGGGATTTGTACTACCAATTCTGGAGCATTAACATATTCTGTAATACTAACAGACACCACTTGTGCTAATGCAAGAATATATGCCACAAAAAGCATTTCGCAGTGAGACTTTAGAAACTAGCACCAGGCAGACTGAGCTGACAGCGATTTGGCTGGGATGCTGAAGATCCTCATAGATATACAGAAAGAGGAGGGCAAGGGAGAGATGCTTGACGTAATGTCACCTTGCTGCTACAGCTATGTAGGGTGCGACACAACTCTGGAGGCAGACGGCGACCGTCCCCCCGCCCGGACAGGTCAGTAAATGTTTGAACATGGAGACAGAGCCGTGCGTGAATCCACAGAGCTTCCAATGTCACAAGAAGGGCTTCAGACTGGTGAACGAGGGTTAGAAAAAGAAAAGACTATACAAACAAGGAGGATTCTGTACCTGAGGTGCCCCCGATATCCATGGCTTTGAGATTGCGTGCTTTGATGATGTTCACAGTGATGGTGTTGGCAGTGGGATTATAGCAGAGAGACAACAGCAGGTCTCCTCGTCTCCCCTGAGGAACACACATACAAACACAATGGAGTATGAATCATGCAGTCTAATACCAAATTTCATCAGGGAATATCAAACTCCAGATTACTCACTAGCTTGTTGTGTAATCTTACACCACTGCCCTTTCTGCTCTAACCCCTTGTGCCAAACACAGATGGTCCAGTGACCAAGCTGGCTTAGCTGAGTCTGCTGCTCACCCTGAAATTACGTCAATCAAGCTCACATGCTGAAAGCTGTCAACAAATGGCCTCAGACCTGTTTTAATAAAACTGTAATTACAACATTTGAATGAAAACACTGGATTTGTCATCATTCCGCCAGATGGCCCTCTCTTACACTGCCATCACTGCAGGGCTTGAGCTCCTTCCAGAAGGTCTTTATCTGGCCCAGTTCCACCTTGTTAAGGGGAATTGACACCTCTCCAATAGGGTCATTCCTGCTGAAGCGGTCGTAGTCCAACACCTGAAGGTATAGAGTGCGCTCTCTCACCTTCTCATAAGGGAAGCCTGAAACAGAGACAGAAACAGAGAGGAGAGCTTAGTTACAAAGAGTGAAAAACATATTCTTGACTGTACAGGGAGGGCAATGTCAACTGCACCATGCCAACAGGGAGGAATTTGTCAAAGACCAAAGTGCATTTCAAATACTCCAGCCAGGACTCTCTCAAATGACTGAGAGGGATCATTATACTCTAGTCTCATTCATTTTTCAAGAGCATCGGCTATTGTTCTAATTTTGGAAGGGCCTTGAGCCTTTAGAACATTATTTTGGTCATCTGAGCACCATGGTCGTAATGAAACAAATTCAGATTGTACAGAGGTGAGACACTTCACTATTTCACAACTTAAAATCGGCAGTTTGCAGAGCTCAAGAATAGAACAAAACCTGTCTTTTGAGCCGGAGGTTTTATCAACCCAAAACTTTTCTAATTTCTCACGTTGTTAGTGGATTTTCACATAACTCCCACAATATTCTTTTTGCAATGAGAAACAATTCTTTGCCATTGCCATTAACTCTTGAAAGGATAATCGGGCACATTTTATGTGGATGTTCCATTAGTGTTGATGGTAAATGCAGCCCATTAAAGCAATAAACTACTCAGTGCGTGCAATATTGTTCGAAAATGCATAGTTCGCCAAGTAGTTCTTCCTGGATCCAGCATCTTCATTTGACATCACAGTGACATAGGTGGTGGCACAGTGATATTTTTTCCCCCACCAGATTTTTGACACCTCTCAATTGACGAATACCAGCTGTGCGTCAAGCCCTGCTCCCTACTCTGCCTCTGATTGGCTAACCCTAACCCTTAACCCACTCTACTCCTAATCTTGACAAACCTAACTAGTCGAGGCAACGAGTACTAGCCAATCAGAGGCAAAGTTGTTGAAAATCTGGTGGGAATAGATTTTGCTCTCTCCGCTTGTATAACAGTCTAGCTACGTTTCCAACAGCAAAAATGGCATCCCAAAATTTTAGTGCAGAGGATATTATGACGAGTTTTGGCTGACTTGGATATTTAGCTGGATTTATTTAAGCCAGAGAAGAAATGCAGCGGAGAGAGGCAGAGGCTGCATTAGCTGTGCAAGTGGCTGCTCAGAGCAAACACAGGCTGGTGGTGCCTTTGCTCAAATTGCCCTCCGATGCCAACAGAAACTCAATTGACTCTCTTAGGGTTGGCGTCGACGACACCATCCAACAAAAACTTTGCAGCAGAATTATTCATGAATGAATGAATAATTCTGCTGCAAAGTTTTTGTTGGATGGTGTCGTCGACGCCAACCCTAAGAGAGCCAATTGAGTGTGCATTACTATGCTTGAAAGTTTTACTCCTCACTTGGACAGAGGTGTGCTGGAGACTTTCTTCTGGGTTCCAAAAATAAATTGGAAAAGACAGCCAAGACCAGAAGGGCCAAGAGGGAAGGAGACCGTTGAGTCAGCTAACGCTACGTTTTGGCCAATAGCTAACATTATCGGCTAGCAGACTGGGGTGATATATTGGTTTGATTTTGGAATACTAAGGGGCTGTCAAGAGAAACTGAGTGAACATTAAGCCTTGTTTGCTGTGAGATGGGCATGGGCATCAGAAGCTCACGCGCAATGCATCCTGGTTCATATAGGCACTGCTGGCATGGCTCCGCAAGCAGGAGACTTCTGCTTTCCCTGTCAGTATACCACACACTGAGGAATACATTTACCATCAACACTGACTGGACATCCACATAAAAAGTGCAGAATCTTCCCTTTGATCCAACAAGTGAGCCATCAGCATGCATTTCAGCAACACTTCAATTTCCTAAGATAGAAAAATAATAATTAAAAACATTTATGTGTCGATTCTTAAAGGAATAGTTAGTACACATTTCGATAAATGTGCTTATTCGCTTTCTGAGAGTTAGATGAGAAGCCTGGTCCTACATTTTTACACTTTGGTTTTTGTACAGAATAAATAAACAACAATAACAACATTTTTTTTTTACCTTTGGTCAGAGCCAGGCCAGCTGTTTCCCTGCTAAGCAAAACAGCTCCTGGCTGTAGCTTAATTTTTAGCAGATATTAAGAGTAGTATTGATCTTCACATTTAACTCTCAGCAAGAAAGCAAATAAGTGTATTTCTCAAATGGTCTAACTATTGCTTTAAACAGGATTTACAGCTATGCGAAGCTCTAATAATGGAAAGTATCCCTTGCGGGCAAAGCTAATTGAGACAATTTTTCTCAAGAGTATCAGAGTTTTCAGAGTGTTAAAGTTTTTAATAAATAATAACTAAATCATTTTTTGTTGCTCATTTAGTCATGAATATTTACTGACATAGGGCTATATGTAGCTTTCAGGGGCTTTAATTCAGAAAAAAATGGGGATCCTCTTTTTAAGCAGTGTGACAAAATGTAAAGAAAAAATATGAAATAAACAACAATAAGAATTACAACAGTAGCTGGGTGGATATAGCACAGACCCTCAAACAGAAAGGTTTCGTTCCAGTGGGGGTTGAGGTTCTTCCTCTTGATCTTGGTCTCCAGCTTGTGCTTCTTGTCAGGCAGCAGGTAGATTTTGACGAAGGGGTCAGATGTCCCGGAGAAGTCCTTGGCCGGGAGCTCCTGGCCCCTGAGAACTTTGACGGTGAGGGTTGTGTTCTGGAAGCTATAGCCTATGCTGAACTGGATCCGGCCCAGCTTCTCACTGATAGGCCCTTCACCGTCATCATCCTCCGAACCTGGAGACAGCTGCAGGGCCACAAATGCAGTCAAATAAATATAAACACATGCAGCAGCAGCAGCCATTCAGATGAAAAGTTCTGTCCAAAAGCACACAGTTTCTCTGCCACAAGCAAGTGCACGCAAACCTTGGCAGAGAAAAGCTGTGAGGGGAGGAGATTTTAGAGCTGCATTTCTATCACGGCATACTCAAGCAGCTGCTCAAAGGCAGAGATTGGTCTGACATTAAGAAGACTGAGAGAGTTTTATTTCCTTTCTAATGTTCTTAAGAGGCAGGAGGTGCTCAGATTGAAGATAGAGGAGCTTTAGACCACCGTTCTCTCTCACAGCCGCTCTGACTGCTATATCACTGCTGTGCACTAAAAGGCCACTATCTAATAGACAGCAGTGGACAGAGTGGGAAAGAGAGAGTGAGAGACAAATTGTAAGAGTAGGAGAGAGAGAGATAGAGCGCATTGCATGAGGGGCATGGAGTGAATGGAAGCACAGCTCAAGGTTGGCTGTTTATGTTCGCTTCTTTTCTCCCCATGGCTCCACCTTCGGTTTCTGTCCTATTTTTTTGCTCTCTCTAACAATAGCATAGATTGGAATAAAGCGTTTGAGACAACCAGAAGTTATTACTGTAATAAGACCACTTTGTGCAAGAGCCTTCATTGACACTTTTTTGTCTGGTATACATGCAAACTCTCTCTCTCTCGGAGCATTACCTGAAATTGTTGATTTCAGTGCTTTAGGCCAGAGCTTCAATTTCAAAGTGACAAAGACTCACTCACTCAGAATTTGTCATATAAGGGTTTTAGAAATGACAGGTAGAGCAAGCATGAAATATCCCAAGTGTAATTTATCAAACAGTATAAGTCACCTTGGGCGGCTTGCCTTGCTTGATTGCTATTGTAGAAACTGCCTTACCACGTGCAGCTTTAAACCAACCTGTGCATGGAGGATGACTCTGCAACACTAATCCTACTTGATGACTAAAAATGTAGTGGTCAAAAGTATGTAGACACCCGCATATTACACACATTATTACACATATACAATATGTGACAATTTCATTACAAACCCAGGGACATCGATGTGATTCCTCCACTCTAGTTTTAGACTTCCCAAATGATTTTGGACCCTGGCTGAAAGGGTTTGCTTCCATTCAGCCAAAAAACTATTAATGATGTCGGGAACTGATTTTGGCTGATAACACCTGGCTCACAGTTGGTGTTCTGATTCATCACCAAAAGTGTTCAATGGGCTTGATGTAAGGACTCTGTGCAGGCCATTCAAGCTCCTCCACACCAAACTGGAGCTGTCATGTCAAGGTCAGTTTACTCATCATGAGGAGTACTAAGTCTGAGAAAATAACAGCTTGGAGAGCTCAACTTGTCTCTTGTGAGTGCCCCAATTTCATGGGAAGAAATTCAAGACATTGCTTCACTCTGGCGAAATTCTATGTTTTTCATACTGTCAACAAATCCCATGAAAAAACAAAAATTAACAATGAATTGTTTTGTGTAGTCAAAGTTTGATAGATGTTCCTCTGTGTCACAGAGCTCAAAAACTACTCAAATGTATTGTTGCACTGGGTGATATGCTCCTTCAATAAAATGAACGTGGTCACTTTTGTTTATTTTGAGTCAATCTGATATACATTTTACTGGTACCATAATTACCAACTAGTGCATAGTCATCCGCAGCCAAAAATAGTCCCAAACATATTCACTATTTACTCCTGTTTAATTAACATTAGCTAAGATCTACAATGCCCAGTTGTATTAGGAAATAACTTACGTCTTCAGCAGGAATAAATGGGCTTGGGGCTTATTGCCACAGACAGGGGAGTCAAAAGCATTAAGAGACAGGCTATCTCAATGTTGTATTTTTGGCTTTTAATGGGATATGTTGACAGGATAATATGGAATGAAACTTACTATAATAATTTGAACTACAGCTGAGAGGGGTGTCCACAGACTTTAAGCAAAATAATACAGATCGAGATTCATCAGCATAGGTAATTGCAGGATGGATGTGGTGGGAAAGAGGGTCTTACCATCACCATGTCTCCAGTGAGAGAGTTGGCCAGGTCAGTTACGGAGGAGTGGCCATCAGCATCAGGGGGCTGGCCCTTGGGGCTGTTAGCTGGCTTGTTGCCCCTGTAAGCAAAAACGCAGGTTGACCCAGAGGGAAAATGGCGAGGACATGTGCTGAGAAGCTAACTCGTCTCCAGAAAGAGAGAATGTCTGAGCACACAGGGAGTCCAACCTCCACCTGTTTGGCGCTTGAAAACTGCCTATCTAAAATGACCAATTGAGTCCAAGTTTGCGTTGGATAGATGTCACTTCAAAGTAGATGTGCTTTGTCTAGCTATCATGAGCGAAGCCAAATGAAATCTGCCAAAGATTCCACAGATTAACGGCGGGAGCTAGAACTGAGGACATTTGATGTGGTGTTTGATGAAACTTGGAATCTGAGATGACTATACATATGTCCAGTGTGGCAAACATCCATATCTCTAACAAGAAAGTTACCTCCACCAAGTAAACAAACACATTTTCAGACAGAACACAAAATAGAACTACTAAATTGAAAATGATCTCCAATCCATAGAATTCATAACGAGACAAATACGTATAATGACATGTATAGCAACATGACGTCACTATATACACGATAGACAGACATGTATAGCAACATGTAGAGGACCAGACATTTCACAGGACAGATGTTGAACATTTGTGTGTGTGTGTGTGTGTGTGTGTGTGTGTGTGTGTTTAAATCTCTCAGATAATAAGAATCTGCATCAACAACACAAAATATTATTAAAAACATAAAAGAGAGAGCTGAGATCTCCCATGGCAGAGCTGGTACTTAGGTACAAACGTTAATAGTTGTTATGTTTAGTTCCTTCACACTAGGAACATAACGTTAAAGTGGGACAAACATTCCGGGAGAAAAACCTCTATGTTCATACATCATGAAAACAAGAAGAATCACAAAGTTTAAAGGAAAATAAACAGTAAAGAAGATAAAAAATAATAATTAAGAGAATAAATACTATGAGATTAAAGAAAGAATGAGGACAGATAGAATAAGAAAGAGCCAAATGCGAAAGTCCTGGCCAATGCAATGTGACACATTGGACATACAGCAGTCCATAGATGACTGGTCAAGGCACATGGAGCGGCTGAACACTGAAACACTGTTAGGCAATAAACAAACAGTAAATAGAGAAGAAAAACAAGAACTGAAACTCAGAGAAAAGAAATGAGGAGACGCAGAGAGGATGCTGAAGTTGCAGACACACAAACAGGACAGAAATCATAAAGACTGTAGATAAGATATAAGGTTCAACAAGGAATGTAAGAAATAGAAAAGCAAGCTGAAAATTATTTATCTGTATTAGAAGAGATAGCAAGTATTAATAGCATGAACAGTGAGGTTACAAAAAACCAAAACCAAACAGAGAGTGAGATTGTTACAAACACCAGCACATTAGAGAGTAAAAACAGAGCTGTAAGAAAAGATAGGGAATGAAGGAAGGAAAGCCTGGAAACACAAGAGAGGCTTAGTTTGGTCAGTCTGATAAGTATCAAAGAATAAGAGACAAAAAAATAAAGAGCTATGCACACACAATATTTCTAACAGGAGACAAAGGGGTGAACATGCTAAAAAGGGAGAAAAAGAGCACAGAGAAGAAAAGAAAAAGACAATAAATACAATTGATCAACAGGAAAAGGAGAGCGAGAACCATAGTTCTGTACGTGGAGAGCTCAAAATTAAAGATAGATGAGATATAGTATGAAAGAGAAATAAGGTGTAGATATACAATACAAAAATATATCATTGAAAACACAAAAAAGGGACAAATAGTAAGAACATAGGAAATGCACATTTAGAGTGTTACAAAGGAGGACATTGGTTGAAATGAAGTAATAACTACAAATTATATAAGTTAACTTTGAATCTAACCTGATTTTCCAACCATTAAGCAACACTCTAAAAGTGTGGAGTGGGGACACAAGGGCCAAAGCACAAACTGGCATCGGCTACATGTGCATATATATTATATGCAAGTAGTTGTCACTCAGAGAGTGAAGACAATGCCTTGGACAGGCAGAAAACAAGGAGCCCACAGAAAGTCTGTCTGTCTGGCCAGCATTCTCTGTCAAGCTTTCCACTGAGAGATTGCATGTTTCATGGGTCATACATATTTTGTTGGACACGCTAAACTGCAAATTTGGATGAGAATTGATGTTGAATGCAGTAATGTGTACATTTTGGCAGAAGACAAGGACAGAACCGGGGGGAAAATATACTGACAAATAGACAGACAGAAAAAGCGAGCAAACAAGACAAGCAAACATACAATCACTTCAACCAGCAAAGGAACCAGAGCGAGACGGGGGGAAGGAGGGATGTTAACCATTTCGAGAAGGGAAGGGAATATTCATCACTTGGTGTTAGTTGTATTAGTTGCCAAGGGAGGTAATTGCATTTTCATGGGCCTGTTTATTTTTTTTTGCACAGATTCTAAACTGCAGGCAATGAGTTTGAGAGGGGAGGAAAAGGCTGGGTAAAACACTAAACCAAGATCTGAGGATCTGTTCAAAAGAGCTCTAAAGCCAGGAGAGAGACTTGTGGTTTTGAAATAAAGCAAGGCACCTCCCTCCTCCTCCACCTCCCAACTATCGATAGGGGAGTGAACGTCTTCAATTATTCATTCTCCTTCATGCTTCATTCAGGGGTTCAGTGCATTCTCAGGTAAGAACTAGTGCAGCCAGGGGAATGGCCTTTCTACCAGCCCTGCTCTACAGCACCTGAGGTGGTCCTCTGCTCCAGCGCTGCCTCCAGGCTGTTTAAACAAAGCGGCTGGGGCTGCAGATTTGTTGCGGAAAATAAGATGCTTTCTCCAGATCATACAGTATATCGTGAATTAAAAAAGGAAGATTGTTTTCGGTTAATTTAATTTCTAAAAAAGCAATATTAATTGTGGCAGATGGTAATACTACAACTGCTACATACTGCCAATGCTTTTTCCGTCTGACCCCTTGGTGGTTGATATGGAAATTGATGCTTTAAAGCCTGCAGTTGTCTACAGTATCCAGTGGGAGGCAGAGCGGACTCGAGTTCAGATCAGATTCTCCCACAGCTAAGGCACAGAAAGTGGGCTGTTGGCATAGCAACGGCTCTAGAAACACAGACCATACATATAGGGGTTTAGGGTGTGTGTCACAAGAGGTTGTTTGGAGTGAGCGCAGGGGAAGGGTGTGTTTAGAGGGGTGCAGCAAACAGGCAAACATACCGAGAACAAAGAAGGTATAGGATATATGACAGGTACGGGTGAGAGCCTCGCAGACACACACATTCACATGAACAGACATATGGAGGCAGGCGGGGCCACTTTGGGTTTCACCGTCCTGTGATACTATCCTTTTTTTTGTTACCTGACCGAGGGCCAGCAGCTCGAAGAGAGGGGAAGGGGGGGAAAGACACTCCACTTCTAGGCTGGAGAGAGACGCGAGAAAGAAAGCCCAACCCAGACCCTCTTTTTTTTTTAATTCCCACCCCTCTGCAAACATGTCACACTCAAACAAACACGCTCGCCCGAGACCATGAAGTGATGCATTTCAATGTCTTATGCTCAATTTCATAGCCACCTACTAGATCTATATTTCTTCAGGGGCCACAGCATACTTCCCAAGATCATACACAGTCAAAACCACAGCAGTGAAGCATGGCGCTGCTTACATAACTCATCATCATCCACATGAAACACATGTACATTCACACTAGAGTCAGCCAGTCATTCCCTGCTGCTTCACTTCTCCAGCTAAGACCACAAATTCTGCTGCGACATATAAATATGGATGCCTTCACCATTAACTAATTACTTCCTGCATGTTGAAACTGGAAATGAGTCTAAAATAGCATCATTTACTGAAATCCCATTTCAGGAAGAAGCAACAAGGGAGGTGCAAAACGCTGCCTTCTGTGTATCTGCTTCTTTCACTGAACTCCAAAAGAAAATAGAAATCCACAAGACTATTCAGCGGGTGCCAAATGCTGATCTTTATAATTGCTGTTTCGTGTCTATTTTAATTAGAAGTCGTATTTCTCATGGTTGTTTTTTAATATACCACTACCTCTAATTTTGGTGGCCAGTGATTACCCTAACTATGATACAGTAAAGCATTGCAAACATGTTTACCTGCAAGTCCAAAGATGACCTTAGTGTCTGCCCTATACAGGCCCCAGTTGAGCCTCCACCTCCTTTTATGGCCTCCTGATACTCTCTGCAATTTAGCATTCATGTCTCAGAGCTCAATTAAAATCATTTCAGCAACATGAAATCATCAAAACGTTTTAAAAGTCCATTAAAACTCCAAACATGAGTCCAAATGTTTTGAATCCCGATTAAAATCCAAGATTGCCTCTGAGGTGGAGGCTGCTGCAGATGTGCCACCTGTTCTGAGGCAGGACACGGGGGTCCCAGGTTAATGCTCCAAATGGCTCATCTCCCCATCCACCATCCATCCATCTGTATGGATGAGATGAGCATGTGTAACAGCATGTACCTGCTGGCTATAGTGCTGGCTTCAGCCCCGCATAACGCATGGATGTGCAGAGTACAATAAGTACTCCCTCCTACTACTCTCATAAAAGGAAGATGGATTTATACCATGAATTTTCTCTCATCCTCCCCTGACATATGGATAGATGGATGTATGAATGTACTGTCCTCCTCCTCCTCTCTCCCTGTAACTTCTTTTTGTTTGCCTTAGTGCTATCCACTTTCCCCCTCTCTTAGTACATAACTCTAAGCATCTTAACATTCCTACTGTGATGTGTGGATGAGCATGGTGGCCACAGGGAGCCAATGCCTTAGGGACAGTCTTAACCGGAGCCCCTGAAGACGCTGCTGATTAGTTGGCCCCGCAAAAGCCCCTGTCACAGGAGGAGCACTGTGTCAGACTAGTGGACCATAGCACAATCAATTTACATATTTATGTACAAACACACATACAGATTATAACATCTGAAAGAATTATAACAGAAGTTTGTGTCTGTCATCTAAGAAAACTCTTTAAGAAGAAAGACCTTTAAACCTTAAAGCTGTCTTCCTATACATGTATGTGACCTCAGAATGACCTAGCATTTCATGATCCTAAACACACATCTTCTACCGCATAAACATTAAACTCCTCCTACTCACACTAATGTGGTTTGGGCACCAACGCTCAGTCATGACGTTAAATAAACACACTATTGATTTACGTGAAAGGTCATAACCACCATACGCTGTCTACGTTTGTCTTTGCCTTTCATTTCAAGTTAAGCAATGTAATAAGCTCATAAATTATGAAGCAATATTATATAGCCCACTTGGCAATTAACAGACACTCAGATGGCGTATCCTGTCTTTGAGGCAGAGAGTATACATCTATATTTGCAAGATGTTTTTTGAAACAAGAAACCACTCCGCTGGCTTACACAAAATGATGTAACATGCATGGATGAATAATTGAAAGACCTCAGGCAAGTGGATTGAATGTTAATGTGGCACAAGCATATATATCCCGCCTCCTCTATCCTGAACCTCCATCCTCATTGGGCCGTTTGCGTGATGCTCAGAGAGAGATCTAGATTCAAAGCTCTCAGGGATTTGTGGCTTCTCTTTATAGGAACACTGGAGGAGAACCTACACTATAGGTTCACTGAATCGCAACAGAATTATGTGAGTGAAGACCAAGAAGGCATCAACGAGCCACTCTAACATGCTCATTAGGCTTTCTAGGATCTACAACCTATGGATGCCTGGCATATAAACAACTGAGGATGTGCGGCCCCAGAAGCGAAGCAACACATCATTTTGCAATCGAAACTGAGTTCCTCTGCTATTTAATCGTGCAACCTTGAAAGCCCTGAAAATGTGTAACCTTGGTCTGAAATCCTCTGTCACTACCATCAACTCTGGTGCACTTCGAACAGTCAGCCAGCTCCTGCCTCACTTCGTAAACAAATGGCCATGCTGAACACTTTCATCCAGCGACCGCACACACAAGGTCAGTGAAGGAGCGTAATGAGAATCACGCACTATAACACCTTCTCATGGCCAGTCTGGGTAACAGTGTGTGTGTTGTCTGGAGTGCCTTCGACTATGGCCTAGCAACAGTGAACTGTTAACACACTGCCGAAGGGTAAATGGAAAGGCCCTCTGTTGTTATTGGTCAAGTACTTTACATACATGTTCCTATTAACAAGACTAATTGTAGTGCAAGGTCAGCAGTATTGCGCTTTCCAGCGGTGGAAGAAGCACTCCTTTACTTTCAAGTATCAATAGAACAATGTAATAATACTCCATAATAAGTAAATGCCCTACATTTAAACTCAGGTTAGGTACAGAAGTCTTATGTAATTAAAGAAATCAAATTAAGTAAAATATATTACATTAGTAGATAGTTAATACTGATGCCCCAATGTGTAAGTAGCATTTTACTGCAGTAGCTTGTGAGCTAGGGATTGTATTAACTACTTAAGACTCATAGACAGATCTGAAAAATGACATGGGAACCCAACTAGATATGGCTTTTTGTAAGAGGTCACAAAAAGTTTGGAAACTAAGGTTAAGGTCTTTAACTATGCATTATATTAAGTATTATTATTAGTTTATTATATATAATCTGAATCTGTACTGTAATTATACTTGTCAAATAAAAAAAAAGTACAGATCTTGAGTTGCCACCACTGGATGTTTCACTAACATAGAGCGCTCTTTGATATCCATCACAAGTGGAGAGGTTTCACTTTTACGTTGGCGTTGATGACATTAATCTTTGAGAGTCACATGAACTATTCACATTAACTTCAGAGGTTTTTTATCTGGATTAAATAATTTGCCTGCGACGTGTTGTTCGGACGATAAACTTAGTTAAAATTCATGGGGTGTAACATGAGTGATGCGGGTCAGGAGTTGAGCGATGGGCACATGAAGGACATGTTTGATGTGAATGCACAGACAGCGATGACGTAGCAATACAAGGGGTGTGGAGAGTGAGCGAAGAATGAAAAGTGGGACTATGTCTCCAGCTCGAGGCAGGCTTGAGAGTCTTGTTTAGAATGAGCAATATGCCAAGAGCGTGATTGATTAAATCATGGTCAGACATCTGTGAAGTCAGCACTAATGCTACGGGGAATTATATACTCCCAGCAAGCTTACACCTTGCATTGCAAATATACTGTGGACGTATAATGTTTATTTGAGCCTCTAAATTTAGCATCCAATTAAAGTGTGGTTAAATAATTTATTATACATTTGAATTTGTAATCTATCATGAAACAAACAAATAATAATAAGTGGCTCAAGTGGTTCGCGGCTCAGGATAGGGACACACAGGAGCTCACTAAACGGCCAAGACATTCCCGGTTCTCTATTGTTCACAGACTGTAAGCTGCCAGTCATTCTGTTTTGACTGAAAGAAATTAAATGAACCTCAGGTTAATCTAGAAAATGCCACAATGCTCTCAATCACCATTAATCGAGGTGAGTCCTGCTGGCCATGTGTTAGACTGAGCATCCTGCGATTCCTGCTTGCTGTTTAGTCTATTAGTGGATTTCACAACCCATTTAAGGAGGTTTACAGGTGAACACATAAGCTGGAAAAGCCAGATGTAATGTGCACAGCAAATTAGACACAAAATTTAACTCTGTGCGTCTGTTGGGTTTCACACTAATCCTGAACATTGGAGATAGTTTTGATGCTCACAAACGTGATATTCTTACTCAAAGAATGCTTTCAAGCTTGTTTGTAACTCCATGATGTACCATGTTGATTCAGGGAGAAGGCCACAGGATGCTTGGGGGCAAGAGACTACAATGAGGCAGACAAACCAAAGAGGCGACAATTTTTCACCAGTTGTTGATGTAGCGTAGCTCAAAAGGCAAATGTTTAATGATAAATAATAGTGCTTATTAGTTCAGGGAAGATAATTGCTATCATGCTGAAGACACAAGAGGCCCTGCAAGTTGCACATCCCACATGTGCAGCTCCATCCTGCAGCTGTGCAGTCAGATAAGAAAACAGTTACCATCTGTGTTGTAATAGAGCCCTAGTTTTAAATCATGTGTCAAATTGATGAAACACTTGTGAATGAGGAATAATTGGTGTGACGAGTAAATCAGAATTCGTTCACCCGCCTCTGCCATTTTGTTTTAAGGTGTGCGTCATATTGTGTATCTCCAAATTGTCCCCAATTTGTCACAGACTCAAAGTGAGGTTAAAACGACCTAATTGGACTGCAGAGGAAATTGAGTGTGTCGCATCTGCCTAGGGCTGGACCAAACGCAGGATTTAACTCAGGCTCTGGGGTGTTACATGCTGGCGCAAATAATCAAAACCACCACCCATGGCCGAAAATGAACAACACAAGCACTGTATGGTTTGAGCTGTCTGTTTCACATGACATAGCCACGGTGTCAGCCATTTGTTAGTCTTAAACTGTTCCACAAAAACATTGGTCCAATTCCTAAACAGAATGCAAAACTAATTATTTTGGGAAACAGGGAGATGCGAGCTTGAGTGGTGCATCCTTATAGACAAGTGGAAATATTTTGGCTTCTAGTGTGTAAGATGGCTGGCAAGGAAAAGGTTTATTTTTAGCAGCATGTTTATGTAAGTGACTACCATGTTGTGGAATAATGAGGAGGCTCTCTGGGCCCTCGGTGGAGCTACAGAGACGGGACTCTCAGAGCAGCAGAGGGTGATTGAAGGAAGCTAATGAGCAGGAGGGGAAAAAGAACACAGGAGTAGAAAGGACTGGGATAATAAAAGCATGGAAATGCAAAGGAAATACAACAATTACCAATGGGAGGTTTCTGTAAGGCAGGAGTGAAAAGACAAACAAACAGTGGAGGAAAATGTCTTTGTGATGGGAGAGATAATTATCATGGTCAGGAAAAAAAGACCACTGGCATGAGAACACACTGTTTTATTTGATTTGCTGAAATGTTATCATTAAAAGTGGGAAAAAAAGTACTGGTGAGCATTTCACTGCTGAGATTTATGAGCTCATTACTGCTTTACAGTTAACATCCACATTGCTTTATCTCTTTACTCATCTCAGCATTATTGAATTTTTTTTAAACATTTGGTTTATGTCAGCTCTCATTTTTATTTCTGTAACAGAGTGTCAGGCTCTGGTGCTATTTCAGGTGCAGATCTGTGGCACAATGCACTTAAGTGCAGTGACTCACGAAAAGCACTGCAAAACAAAACTACTCTCCTCTAACTCGATTCTGAAATCATCTCTTGTTTTTCCTCAATATCATATCCTTTATGTCCTTTCATTTGCCCTCCATTCTCTCACATACAACAACCACTCTCGCACATTATCCGGTACCTCTTCTCAGGAGGGGGCTCCTGATTGGCTGGTGGTGCTGCCTGAGCTGTTTCCTGCAGGTCAGGGATATTGGCAAAGTCATCTTGCTCTGCCACACCAATGGCCAAAGCCAGGACCACCATCTTCCCTTCACTGGCTCCCCATAAAAAAAAATACGATAACAGAGATAGATAGAGAGGCGAGAAAAGAGACCAGATGCAAAGGATAGGGAAATCGGACATAAAGAAGGTGTGGTGCAGGGGGAGAGAAGAAAAGAGAGGTCATTTCAGGTGACAGCGGGCACAGAAAGAAGAGAGGCGGCGGGACAATAAGAGAGTAAACAGAGGAAGCAGTAACAGAGAAAATGGTCATAAAGAGATAAACACCCCAGCAGTAAGCACTTTGTCCAGGGAAGGATATTAAGAAGATACCTTAAACTGAAAGGCCAAATTAATAATAATTGAATGATATTAATGAATTGGTGCTGACAACAAGTGCAGGCTGTGTTCACATCATACAGACAACTAATAATTAAGTTAACTGGTGATGATTAGTTAATGGTTGTTAATAGATGTGATATTCAGCAGCTTGCACATCAGCTTCCGCACATTTAAAGTGTACGCCTGTTTGCACGCACACACACAAACCACGCCAACCCACCCCACACACACACAGTAATTTATCTAGTTATTTAACCTGCCTTCTGCTTTCCCTCCAGACTCACCTTTCCCATCGAACATGCCTGCCGTCTTTCTCCAGAGTTAAGATTTAATTAAGCCTCATTACGAAGATCTGGACTAATTGTTTCTATTTGAGTGACACGGTGTCTTGAGGTGCTTGGTGTGTGTCACCGTTTTCTGGGTCACTGCTCTCTCACTCTCCGTGCTGCACTCTTCTCCTCTATTTCATCTCCGTTTTTCTGCTACACTTGATCACCAAATCCCCTTCCCCCCCTCATCCCTATCCCCTACTCTTAATTCTCTGCCTCCTCATCACTGCCTCCTTCTTGTCACACACACCCACGGTTCTATAGCTTAAGCCTCTGACTGCGTTACAATACCTCCGCTAAGAAAATACAGTGCTGCCAAGCTGTGGAAAGATATCACCTAAATTTCACAATTTCATCTTTCTTACACTTACTCTTAAAACCTTGTCTTGCAGCACTATAAAGGACTGTTTAATAATCCATGCTATACGTCTATGCCAGTTCCCAAGCTTTTATATCTGACCTATTCCCACAGCTATTTTAGACAAATTCAAGTACCCCGTCACCAACACAACGCCATAAATGTGTCCATTTGCAGGAATTTTAATTGCATTATTTATTTCAAACATTTATTCATAACTTTTAACTATCTCAACATTATATGCAGTACTTTTTGTCCCAGTGCTGTCTTCAGCCACATCTCCACTTTCCCAGGCCCCTTCAGCGCTATACCACCAGATGCCCTCAAGAATTTTCTCCTGCACATTCCTCTCACGAGTTCCCCACCCATCTTCTCACCTGCACCCCATACCCTCATCAGCCACTCTCTCTCTCTCAACATATATATATATATATATATATATATGTATTTGCCAGTTTTTGTACTGTCTCTGGTTTGGACCCTTGCCCGCCTCATGGTCCTGTAAACCTTGAACCTTATTTTGTAAACAAATCATCACCACCACCACCCTGTTTCCTTGGGCCGGAATCTGGGTCCTTCCCTTGGGATAATTGTAGGTTGAAAAAACTACAATTATTTCATCCTTTTATCCATAACTAACAATTTCAACGGTTATCCATTACTTAGCTTATTATTTTAACTGATTGTCCAAGTCTTTTAGCTTTTCACACAGTGTTCATGTGTTATACCTGACACCATATAAATACATTTATTGACCTAATCTTAATCTAATCAATAGGGGTGAGGGAAAAAATTGATACAGCATAGTATCGTGATATTTGCCATGGCAATACTGTATCGATACACGGATGCCAAGTATATTTTATTATATAAATTGCAGATGGGAGTTTTAACTTTTTAGTACTAGAATAATAAAATCTATTGCTTTTTTAGTCCACTAGAAAACTTAATAGGACCAAACAGAGAAATGTATCTTTTTAGATAAACAGATGTTAACAAAGTTTGACTTTAGGGACCTAATTGGAAGTTGGAAAAAGGTAATAAATTGCAATATATCTCAATATATTTAAAATCGCAATAAAATCGAATCGCAACATAAATATCGAGATAATATCGTATCGTGGGGCCTCTGGTGATTCTGAGCTAATCTTTCCACATATCCCTCACAACTACCCTGTTTAGGAGTCACTGGTCTATACAATATAATGCTAAAACATTATATGGTATGATGCTTGTACTGATGCTATAACAGTTATCTTCTCCCATCACCTTTAAGTATGACCATTTACACTCAAGAGTATTAAAACACTACAATCAATGCAGTGAACATTAAAGAAGCGTAGGCAAGTGAGGGAACAGACATTAATGACACTAGGATAAATTATTGATTTTAAGCCAAAAAGCATGAAGACTAATCACCCAAGACATTAACTTGGTCAAATGGCTCTAAAGGCTAGAAGTGTGTCAGTCACATCAACACATTCCCTGAGCAATGATTCACCCAGATAGGGAATCTCGCCAAGATTAAAATTAACTGGCTTGAACAATGGGTCATGTCTATTACTGGGCCGCTCTGTCATCAATCATATGACATGTTGCTGTTGCAGAGAAGGAAATAAAACAATGACCTCAATCTCACATTTACAATGATGAGTCTTTATAGTTGACTATTATGGGCAATACACCCAATGACCTTGGTGGTGTGGCATGTGCTACATCGCTAATGCTCAGTTAGCCGGTGGCGTGAGTTCAGCTGTATTGTTCTCAAATGCCCGGAGAAGCTTTGACGCAGATAAAAAAGAAACAGCATATGGGGAAAAGCTACTGTAATATGGATTCACTGCAAAGGGACATTAAACACATATAGTACATTGGTAGAGTCCTTCCTTGTCCCTTCATCACCCCCCTCTCTCCCACATCCAACCTCCACCTCTGGCCTGAAGTAACAATATGTTGCAGAAGTAATGGTGCTGGTGACAGAAGATCAATGCTTCAGGGTTAACACAAATCTACACACAGCTGCTTAACCCTTGTTCTGTTCTCATGCTGTTGCTTTACTGTGACACGTGGACTGTGATGTACACATGCCGACACACATGTCAGCAGGCTAGCAGCACAACCAGCAGATAGTTACTAATAGCATTAAAGTACAGTGATACCAGAAAATCATATCAGTTGCATATGTGAAATATACCTCAAATATTAAGCCAAAGGATGGCTCAGAAACATATGGTGTGCTTATGAAATATGTTGTGACTTTTTATGACATGTCTCATGAATATTATGAACTAGCACCACTAGCTCTGTCTTGTAAAGACAATTGCAGCAGACAGGCTGAATGCCATCCAAACAGATGTTACTGTTAAGCAGAGCATACAGCGTAAACGTTGAACAATTCATCACAGAATGGGATAGAAATAGCCACAATATGTCGGCAACTTCCTTGCCATTTTCATGCACATGATGTCATTGATTTTTTTAAATTAGGAAAAATACTTAATAAGAAGCTCTGTAATTCATTTCAGCTGATCACTGTGCAGTCTTATGACAAAACTATCATTGCTCACGATGTATTAATTCATTAAACACTCGGTTTCAGATGAGATTTGAAAGGGTCATAAAACATGTTAAGTAACCATGTGTACTCCCCCACTCTAAGAATAAAATCTAATTAACATAATCTATAATTGTTAACATCAGTCTATGACATCTTCATAAAATGAGACATTGATCCATCTCCTACACATCCACAGGGCTCAGAACTAAAAGACAACAGCTTATTTACATTTATAACTCTACCCTTATTAACAATTATAATATATTTTTCAAATAAGCCAACCTCTGGCGTCAATCTGCGTTCAATTTACATTAATATGATGCTTCACTGCCTTTGTAACTGTATATAGAATACCTCCTTGCCAGAAATACAGGGAAAGCAATGACTAAACTTTGTGCAAAACAATCCTGCACATGCTCCAAACACACAATATCATATAACCGTGAACCACAAAAACACACACCTACATAATACACATTTATACATGTATGCACACAATACATATTTTCACAGACAGACGTAATATCCTTCCCTGGATATCAGATGCATACTGAGAGAAAACACCCAAAAGAAAAGGTACAGAGTACTTCATAAAGGTAAAGGTAAAGGTAAACGCAGATTAGTTAGTACTTAAACATAGATAAACTATTTGATTCTAAGACATTAAGTGTTACACATATATAGATACCTTAAAAATAACTATATAGCCTAGTATGTTCTGTAAGACACAGACAGAGGCCTAAGCAGGTGACACTGACAAAAGACTCCATAAAGATATGAAGGAAGTGTTGTAGAGACTCACAGGAAGGACTTGACGTCCAGGCCACGATTCCGGATCTGGTCCATCATGTAATCCCAGCTGCCAGGATTGGCACGTGAACGCCCTCCTGTTCCACCTCCCCTATAGCGAGAGGCACCTGCTCCTGCTAGGTTGCCCCGTGCACCCCTGGGACCGCCTCGTGTACCTGTACCCCCACCCTCACCACTGCTTCCACCTCCCTCTCCTCTCCCAGCAGCCCCGCCTCCCCCAGGCTGTCCAGGTGCAGTATGTAATTGTCCTAAACTCTGGGATGTGGTGGGGGGGTGGCCGAGACCAGGGCCTGTTGGGTGGATGAGAGGCTGCTGAAGACTCTGCTGGCGCAGCAGCGTCCGAGGCCGGGCCGGCCCAGAGGGTATGTGCTCCAAAGTGGATGCATAGGATAAGACTGGATCCCCAAAGCTGGGAGGGCAGAGGAGCAGGGAGGAAAGAGAGCGCGAAGAAGGCCACGGCCGGCAAAGGACAGGGTAATGAGGAGGGAGGAAAGAGTCAGAGGGCACGGAAGAGGAAGAAGAAGAAGCACATGTAGGAGAGGAGCCGTGGCAAGAGGGGAGTTGGTCAGAAGTGGTGAAGTCAGGAGAAGAGAAGTAGAAGAGAGGGAAAGAATCATCAGCGATGAGGCAAGGTGGCACAGGACAGTAGGGAGACACAGCAGAAGAAGTCAGATTGACGTCACGGAGGATACAGGAAAGTTCATCCAAACAGGAAGTTGATGATTGTGAGGAGGAGGATGGAGGAAGAGTGGTGTTTGAAGATAAAGTGGAGAAGGAGGCAGAGGGAGGAGCATTGGGAGGTGGAGACAGGAGGAGGAGGAGAGAGAAAGAGAGCAACGTGAGGCAGCAGCAGTAACAGCAGTAGCAGAAATAGCAGTAGAAGGTGCAGCCTGAGTGATCGCTGTGTGCTGTGTACTGCTCATAGGGCCGCGTCAGGCAGCAGTGGGCAGACTGTGAGCTCGCCCTGTGCGTCTGCGTTAGATGTCTGTGCACCCTGTGTGTCTGCGCGTCTGAGCGTGCTGTTTGCGTGAGGGCGTATTTCGCAAGGGCAGTGGTCGGAAGTGCACTGTCCGCAGGGGCGTGGTGCGATTCTGTGCCACATGACCGCGCCGAGGTGTGTGGGTCGTGGTTTTGCAGCTCCAGGCCTCCTTGATGAGGGTGTTTTGGTCTGATGAGAGATCCCCATTTCCTCTACTCGTCAGTCAACTTTTTCCATCTCTGATAGCCTCTCTCGCTTTCTCTCTAAGTCTTTTTCGTCTTTTAAATACATGCTGCGCCTCTAGAGACATCCCAACAGCCAACCAAGTCCTACAGTATGACTCCCTCCCTCTGTCAGCCTCTCATTTTCCACTCCTCCCCTTTATGAATGATGTTTAATTGGCTCGTTGCCTTTCTTAAAAATGTCAGCAGTCCGTCAACATGAAGGTGTGTGACACATGTTATTCAAATGTCACCCCTTACTTTACATACATCATTCCTGTGTTTCGTGGGCTGTACAGTTTCTTGTATCATCTTTTTTAATGTTTTTTCGACTCACTAAATATATCCTCCTCTCTCTCAGATCTCTGTGTAACCCAGACTACCAGAATTAGGTCATGAGAGAGCTATTCACATCAGTTTACTCCGCTCTGCATTACTACACCTAATACAATTTTGCATAAGACGTTTAGAGTGCTATCCATCATATCTAACTGTCACAAAAAAATGATAAAAGGGAAATTGAAGGTTTTGCAGGAATGAAACTATTTGTGGGCAAAACAGAAGAAAAGGAGAATAAGAGTGGCTTTACGCAGTGACAGAAAGATGGAGAGAGCGATGGGAATGATACGAGCAGAGGGTGACGATGGAGGAGAGACAGAAAATGGGGTGCGAGACACAAACACATGAGACACAGACACTTAGAGTGGCCTGAAAATAGAATCCAATTATAGACAAGGGGCAAAAAGAAAGATGAGAAGAGGAGAGGAGGGAATGAGGAGTGAGGTAGTGATGAGTGTAAATGTGTTGTGGAGGAAGAAATCACAAGCACGAGGTGCCAAAGGAAGGTGCAAAAAATCATGAAGAACCGAAAATTAACTGTCTCATTCACAACACACTGAATATAGACCCTAAAGCATGCCATACGTCATGGCTGTGGAATACATGTAGTCAACGTGAAGTTCAGGCTCAATCTTAATTAAAAGGCTCAGTGGCATGGCATGAGGCATTATTTCGGTCAGTGTGTGAAAATGAGACTACTTCTGTATTGCATTTTTGAAAGTACACTTGCAGGCAAGTGCACTTCCTCACATAAATAAATCATACTCTCCTGCAGATTTCTTCAGGAGCAGATGGGATGATTGTGTCAACCAAAGGTTTGAGTCAGTGTCGAGCAGCTATAGTTATCTTCTCATGATGACGAGAGTTCACATTTCCCCAGTGCTCACACCTTGATCTGTGACCACACGCTCACCTTGACACCTAAGCTGCACTTTCCTCCCTACTGAACTTGACCTGACTCTCCTTGTTTCTACTCAGAACTGATTAATTCATCTGAACACAGCTGCTGCCAAGGTAAAACGTGTAAGAATAACATTTGTGTTGTAATAATGTGTTTATGCTGCTGCACAGTGAGTGAAATGCTTTTTTTTCTTCCCCGGTTCTGAACTCACTCGCTGGGTCTCAATCCTCCGGACTGCATGTGGCCCTGGACGGTCTGCCACCTCCCGGCCTTCACTCCCTCTGTCACCATACTCTTCACGCTGTCACTGCGATAAGGACCCCCCCCATCATCCCCATGCCCAGTTGCTGCCCCTTTCTGACCCCCTGATACTGCCCCACTAAGAGAGACAGACAGGGTGCGGAGGTCCATCAGCAGACAGAGGGTATAGAAGAGGGAGAATAATGAAAGGCAGAGGAAAAAAAGACCAAAGAGTGTGAGAAAGACAGACACAAAAACACACACACAGGAAAATAGATTGAGCAACCACATGGCTAAGGAAGTGAGACAGATCAATAGTATGTGTGTAAGGGCAAAGGTCTGGTTTTCCAGGCGAAGTGAGAGACAGGTGAATAAAAAGGTCTTGAGTCCAGTGTGGAGGAATAGAGGGATGAGGGAGAGGAGGAGGAGAAAAGAATCTATAGGGAGCCTGTGGAGGGTGGAAAACCAGCAAAAAATCACTCCTTTGGGCCTGGAGGACCAATACTACAGCTGCCAGCATTCACTAGCGGCAACACTGTGTGGACTATTTGGGTTATTTAGTTCTCATTCTCTCATTCATTTAGGCATTTGGGGCTTGACATGTGCTACTACGCAAGGCAATTCAATGGTAGCAACTTAGAGCAACGGGGGGACGGCTTGTACTGAAGTGCCTCATGAGCAAATAATCAACTAATTTGGGCAGTCATCCAAAGTGACATTTAGTTAAATACAAGTGCATTTGTTCCTGTAAAACATCGATCACACCTATTTTTAGATCCTACTGTGTACTATTTCATTTTTGAAAGCTCTACTTGTCATTTGATCACCACTTAGCATCAAGAAGGGTAAACAGGAAGTAGTGAAATACCTGCACCACACAAGGGAAAAGATCATAAGGCACATTCTTTTCATACAGACCTCCAAAAAGAGTAAAAGGCACAGAAATGAATCAGTACTCATACTTAGGAGCAGTTGTCATTTCAGACTTCCTCTGAAAACTGGTTAAAGGTTTGAAATGTCATGTCTACTCTGAAATCAGTGATGATCAAAAATAAAGCACAGTAGTGCCCTCTGGTGACATGACTACATTTAATTAATATGCATGGTGCTCCTGTTCCCGGAGACACAAAATAGGAGGCACAGGAGACGTTGTCGACTAGTGTGCACACATGGGATCAGGGGGTTGCTACACTTGCATCATGTCCCTTTGAAGGTCACCTTTCACATTTAATTCTGACCGACTGACCTGGCAGTGCATGTGGATAAGTCATCAATCAAAAAACTACAGCATGGATGACACTGCTGAAGCAACGATCAACACTCAAGACATGGGCCTCATTTATCGAGCCAATGCAAGGGGATCATCTTTACTCTTTATTAAAAGGGACACGTAAATAAATGGGACCAGGAATCACAAGAGTAGTTAAAGGAATATTGCATTGAGATATCAATCCTGTTTCTGACTGAGAGTAGAAATTATTTACAAAAGCATTATAGCCACATATTTCACAGTTTTTCATCTCAAAGCTTGATTAAATAAATTATAATATAAGGCCAAAATAATCCACCCAACTTGAGTAAATTAAAAAAATGGTGAGTCAATTCACCATGACCACTTTTTCAAGATTGTGTCATGAAATCATCAAATATATAACATTATACAATATTGAAAAATGACAGTATTGAACCTCCAATACAATAATCCTTAAACACAGAGATTGATTGTGCAGGGTAAGTAACCTGTTTGATAAATGAGGCCCATTATCATTACAGAGATTGAAAGCTGCTGATCACGAGAGAATCTCAAGCAGGAAATGATTTCCTATATGTTAGTTTTAACGGCATATTTAGTGCCAGGAGGTCGCCCCCTGTTCTTATTTTAATTGAATGGCAGTGTTGTTACTAGTTCACAGACTACTGATAAAACAGCTCTTTTACTGTTACTGCAGTGAAAGGTTCATCTATTTTTTTTTTTACCTCTGGACAGACAAACAAACTTGTGAAGAAGGTCCCTGTTGAAAAACAGCTTTATGGACAATAAATGACAACCTTGAGGGTTTCTTAAAAAACTTCTCAAGACAAAAGCACTAAAGTCTGGTTTCCTGAGATCAGCAGCCATCATTTTTTAGGCAGGGGTTTTCAGACAGTAATCCATATATCCACTGCGTTCCTAAGCATACTCCTGCCTCCTTTCTCCAGGCAATTTAACACACAGCCCTCAACAGCTAGGTCTATCAAAGATGACCAATTATTAGACAGTTTATCAGACAGACGCCTGGTAGCAGGATGTCTAAGCTTAGAGTCCTCTCAGTTCCCGGAGGGATCAAGGTATGGCCTTGCTAGCTTGCTAGATTCAAGTGCCTAGTGAGTGAAAAAATGACTTTTACTTCATTACATAAAAACACTGTTACCTTCTCTCCCGATATGACGGACAGTGGACACAGTTGCTACGATGTTAGTGCAGTACACATTAGGTATTAGGTTGATGGGGATCAGAGAGAAGCCACAGATGGAAGTTAACCACAGGTGAACACTGGCACCACACTGCGACCTGGTTTAACGGTCAACCCTCCAAAACAACAACCACAACAACAACAACAACCGGCGAATTTCAGTTCACACAAGCAAAGGACAGAGAGAGATACACAGAGATGATGGGTTAAAGAATACAAATATCTTTTGGAGAGAAAATCTACAAGGGTTGTCCGTCTCCATGGTTACACCCCATGGGAGAGAGGTGACAGGTTAGAGGTCAGAAGTTAGTGGGACCGGCAGGGCTGTAGGGAGTGAGGGGGCATCTGAACATGCGCCTCTGTGTTCATTAAGAGGTGACAGGATGTGAGGAGTAGCGGCAGAAATTAGCCTGGGGGATGTTACAGGGCTGCGCTGCTTCGCCGCCACAGTAATCGTCGAATGGCTGTCGCAGGGATGCTGTAATGTATGACATTTCCTACGCTCACATTTCCCATGCAGATTATGACTAATCATTAGTAACCATTTCTGCCCTCCAGTGTGCAATGGGTGGGTTGTTGTCGTTATTACTATTGTTGATGGAAATTGCGTTATACAACAATAATAAGTCTAGAAATGTGCAGTTTGTGTATATTGCAACACTATGACATTTACAGAATGGGCTTTTTCTAAAAGGCCTTTGGGTAAATATCCCCAGTTACTCATGAGAAAATGTTGTCCTCAGGGATAGAAGAATAATCAAGATTATTAGACTAGGTGGAATTAATAAACTGTCAGGCATTAGGACATCACCATCCAATGGTTCAATTTGATGAGTGGCTAGTAGCGGTGAATACACAGCTTGAAAAGGGGAGTGGAGGGGAGAGGAATACAATGAGGGGAAGGGAATAAAGGAAAGGAAATGACTGAGGGAAGGGAAAGGAAAAGGGGAGAGTGGCATGCCCCTGCCTCGTTACAGCCCTGCTCAGGGGGGAAGTCTCTTACCAGCCTTGGACCAAGACTCACTTGAGTGTGAGGCGAGGATCTCCATATGGGGCATAGGGAGAAATGTTTAGTACGAATTCCTTGGGCGGATAGGAGCTCCACCTCTGCTGCACTGTGCTGCTGTCATTGTTATTCCAAAAGTCTCTGTCTAGATCACTGTGGCCAAAGAGAGAGACAGGTCAGAGCAACACAACTATGGACAGCCTTGGCACCAACCAACCATTCGCAAACGGCACTCCTGCTTTTGGAGGTGATGTGATGGCTTGGTTTGAAGAAGACGGTTGGTCCTACAGCTGCATCAAATGGGAGTTTGAAACAAAACAGGCCCACCTGAAGTTCACAAAACACCATTGTGGTCCGATTTACAAATAAAAAAGCGGCAGCCTGGGGGGAAAAAGCACTCACAAAAGCTTTTCATAAAGCAATGTGCTGTAGCAAAGACAGAGAGGTAGAGAAGGAGATAGGTAGCAAGGAAATAGGAAGTCATAATCTGATGAATACATACAGCATGTGATTACATTCTGTTCATCTAGCATGGCACCACTAATGAAACACATTTGAGTAAAAACATTGAGAAGTCTGGCCACCATCCTCAGCGTGAGCAGTGAGAATGCATGAAACGCACGAGACATGAGGCAGAGAGCTAAATTGCAGACAGTCAAAGTAGAGGAGGAAAAGGTGAGCAGAATCACTGATGTCATACAAGTCACACAGCAGTGTTCAGAGCTGTAGCACAGGGACAGAGCAGGAGAGAAAGGCAATGCACAAAGAGAAGAGGTCTGAAGCTGAAATGACCGACAGAGCACACCAATGTTGCTGGAGCCAGTGAGAAAGAAAATGCAAAAATTAGGAGACCCAAGTCAGAATACATTCACATAGCCCAACGTCAGTGCTCAAAACTGTCCATCCCGAAAAGAAAAAAACAAGTAGTGACAGACATTCAAAAATAGCAGAGACAGCAGGCTATAGAAGAGAAGTAGTGATGAGCAGGTTAATAGAGGCATTTTGTGGAATAAAGCAGTGTATTTAGCATTACAATGCTGACATTTTCTGGGACTGACCTATAGTCTTGTTTCACCAAGAACAGAAAATACCTTAATCTTAGTTTGAGCCCTGTAAGAAATGTTAGATCAAAATCCTACCAAACATTTATACAGCAACGATTTCACAAAGAGCACTCCAGCCCCCTCTGCTTACTTAAACCTGCACAATTTGAAGCAATGCAGAGGCGTGGCTAAAGACCTGCACTTAAGGGACACATATCTTACAACCCATAAGATAAGTGCAGGAGCAGACTCATCTAGCCAAAAGCTTCACAGGTAAGATAATGCAGATTTAATCTATTAGTGATTAAATCACTAACCTTCCATTTAATGTCTGCCCGAACATGCTCTTGTAGAGATTGTCCTCTTCAAGATAAAACAACAGGCTTCATTTTCCGCCTTGTTTGTGTGGTGTACATTGAGGGACTCAAAGCAGAACCAAATGGAGTTCATTATCACCAGATTATTCTACCCCAACCAGTTACCAGGCACTTACTTGATGGCTTTCTTCTCCCCTCGCCCACGTGCCGAGTCTGGAGTGTCTGCTGTTTCCACTCCTGGCTTATTCCTCTTCCCCTTGAGCCAAGCGGAAGGAAGGCATGAGCGAGAAAGCAGAGAAACAAAAGGTTAGCTTAGATTTGTCCTTTTGAAGCTGTTTTTTTTGCTGTACTAATTTTAAGTGTAAATGCCTCGCCCATTATCTCAGGAACACTGTGCCATCAGTCCTTTGCCTGATGGTCCCCTGATTACACTCATCAAAGTCAAATCAAATCTGCTGTGAAGAGCCATTTCTGACTATGATTATCATTCACACCACCCTGAAATTTACATGGCAATTGCCTCTTTAAGGTAATCCGCTGGGTACTGGAGAGAGAAGCCTCTAGAAAGTCTTGCACCAGCCTGATTTCAAATAGCTAGAGCATGACCTGCTGTAACCATGGAAATAATGGCAATTTAAAGCTTCGAAAAGTGAGGTCTGCTGGGCGCATTCTACTGGAAAAGCTCATTACGGTTAAAGGTGTTTCACATGTGTCACAATGCAAGTAATCTCTATTGACACTAAAAGCGGGACAGGGAGGGGATCAGTCTAAGGCTGCCCCCCCCCACCTCCACACACACACACAACCCCAAACACCACACATGCTTCCCTGTAAGTGATGCTCTGATACACCCATACACCTCGACGATAGGCGAGGATTCTCAGAAAAGGAGTGGGAAGAAAACTCATTGAGCTGCTACCATGGCTTGGCTTGGACAGTTGGATCGTAAGTTGGCTGAAGAGCAATTAACTGTGGTAGGCCTGCTTGTTGGGGGTTGAGCATGGAGCTGGAGACCGGAGAGCTCAAACTGGACTATGGTTATGTAGGCAACCTCCCTGCTTCCACTTTACTCTTGTAATGAGCCTTCATGATAAGCCTTACCGGGCCTCACTAGAGATCTGCTACCCGAACTTTACCCCAGAAACGTATCAAATCTGGGTCAAGTTCCAGCTATTTTGTCATGAAAAGTGTTCTTGTTTGTTTATTTCCATACATACATAATGTATTATAAAATGGCTCTTTTTTTCTTGCTGATTGTGCCAATCACCTGCCAATAGTCTGAACTGCCATTTCATTGAAGGTAGACATTGCATTCACGTCAACTGATTTCTTGTTGAGCAGGGGGTGTTATTGAATTTAATTTTACCCTACATTCATTACCAGAACCAAGCCTGTGCTTGCCTCCCTACACTGACTCCTTGTTAGATTTTGAATTGATTTAGAAAATGTATTGCTCACTTTTAAGGCCTTAAATGGCCTTGCCCCTAAATACATCTCTGATTTATTACTCTGGTTTGCGCCCTCTCAGCAATTGACATCCATGGATGGTGCCCTGCTGGTTACTCCCAGGTCTCACTTTGTGTTAAAGGGTGATCAGGGTTTTGCTATTAGAGCCCCCACATTATGGGACTCATAATGAACATAATCCTTATTGTTTTTACTTCCTCATGTCCTTAATCTCATTTTATTTGCATTGTCTGATTTTGTTTCTCATTGTAAAGTACTTTTTAACAATGTAAAAAAGAAAATCTATATAAAAGTAGTTAGATACCTGCAAAATGCCCTCTGACCACCTGTCTTATCTAAATCATTTTATAGCATATGCAGCATTTGTAACTAGCTATATTCTTCGTCATTCAGTCTTTGCAAACAGAAACCCATGGGGAAAAACACACAGAGGCAATCAGCCATAGGTTATGTATGAGTTTCTGAGCGAGACTGAATCGACTCATATCTATCTATGATGCATGCAATGGTTATTAATAGCAAAAGTGTATGTAAATGCAAATTGTGCCTCAGCCTACAGAGCTTCAGAACCGGCACACTGATATAGACTCCATAAGGTCCAGACAACAAAGACATCATTTCAAACTACAGTCCACACCGTGGATATTGTTGGAACTGTTACAAAGCCAGAGTTGACAATAGCGCCTCTGAGCAAAAATGATAAAGCCCACTATGGTACCACTGAGCAAAAATGATATCCATCACACACAAAGAAACAAAGCCGCTCATCTATTGTATAATCAGCACTAACCTGAAATAGAAAGATCAATAAATGAGTAAACATAGATCTGAATGACTTTAAACAAATGCAAACATGAGGTGTTTTGTAGCTTAAACACTAACAGTCTCTTTATAAACCATCATAGACATGTATGGAAGTCTACATACTGAACACACGCTCAATTTGTACATACACCATCCTTAAGACACAAAGATGGATACAATCTACCATTGAAGCTTCTAAACATCTGCATGCCCAAGAGGTAGATTCTTCCCCATGCAAAAACTCATTGTACAAAAGCACGCTGCAATAAACTGTATATATGTATAATGTATTGTTGTATGGTAATTTATGGGGAGGCAAAACAAGTCTGAATTACTGTCAGGCGAGAACAAACTATCCAAGTAAACTCATGTATCATTCAATGATATCGTAAAAATTTCAGGAAGGTGGGAAGACACAGAGGATGAGTGAGAGTCCAGTACAGAAAGAGGGGTGAAAGCTGAAAAGAGAATATTTTTTTTTAAAGAGGCAGAGCCAGCAGGAGACTAAAACAAGGACGATGTAGACAATGTGAGGCAGAGAGATGGGAGGGAGGGAAAGGTGCGAAAAGTGAACTGAGAGAAACACTGACTGACAGGAAGTCCCGAGTGGACTGAATGTGAAAACAAGGAAGGACTCAAACACTCTGCAATGAGCATTGAGTGCAGTGATCTTCATTTACACACACACACAACGAATTACACAGCTTCAAAAGCATCTCCTCCACACATTTCCTCCAGCTCATTCACAAGACTCTGCTTCTATCTTCAAGGGAGTTGTGGAGACTGCAGTGATCCGTAGTGACAAGGCCACCAGCTCTAAAGACATGAGGCAAGATTCAGTAAAGAAAATCAGCTCAATATCTGAAATGAGGGTTAAAGCAAACCAAAGGGTTTTACACATTTACAGTATTCTGTGAGTTCAAAATAACTCCAACTGATGTAATGAACCAATTATGAGACATACCCAAATTGCAGCAAGCCTCAACTTGGACAAAAAAAAAGCAATCAACTAACATTTTTACAATCAAACCCTGACAGATTATTGAAGCCTAGTACAGTAGATGAGCAGTCGAAGTGAAGAGAATAGTGGAAAAAGTATCCAGGGAGGGCACTCAAAAGCCTGGCATTAAGTGAGTTATTATCTGCAATTTTGAAATATTACGCTATTAGCATTGTAAGTAAACAATTACTGTTGGCCAAATGAACAGTTCACCAGACTATATCTTGTTTTTAAACCATATTACAGCCTCTCAGCCACCTCAATCAATTTTACTATTGTGTTTAAAAACATTATTGATCTAAAAACCTTCAGCAGCTTTAGAAAAGTTTAATAATTTGGATTAGTTATTATTTAATATTACTTCATGTATTAAGTCCAGT